AAGAAAAATGCTACATTTATTGTACGTAGCTGTCATTAATTATATATACATCTATTGGCTCACCCTGTTTGACAAAATATAGTTGAATTCCATATACTTTCTAGATTTTTCTCAGCGCAGCCTAACTGCGTACAGAGTAGAGAAGAGATGGGTGATAAATTTTGTTGAATGTGGAATAATTGAATTTTAATGCCAAGTTAATGTATATATGTTATATACAGTTTATGTCAATATCAGATTTTGTTGTGAAAATATGCAGAAAAGACTTTATTTTAACACGAATCGCCCGTTTGGGGCACTGCATTTTTTATTTAACGGTGACGGGTCATGGGAATGTGAATATACTAATACTTTAATGTCTGAGAACGATACATTCTAAGACTATATAGAACCATTCTCACATAAATCAGATGCAACACTTGTCTTAGCTTCATTTTTAATGTCGAAGAATGTTAAATATGAAATTGAAACTGAATTTATTTTTTCAAAAAACTGTAATTTATTTAATTTTTTAAAAATGATTTTTGTATAATGTATTTTTTTAACCAAGTATTTTTTTGTGGTTTTTTTATATTATAATTTTTCATTCAATTCCTCTAAATATCAGAAATTTTTTATTTGATCTTCATATATATCAGATTTTTTCTTGACATAACTTCCGTTATTGTTTCTTTTGTTCATCATTGTGTATATAAAATATTTAACAAATAAGTAGAGATAAAGATATAATTTAAAATATAATAATTAGTATTATCTTAAATTTTTATATAGATAAATAAACAAAAATACTTTTTTCTTTCAAAAGTAGATAGATAACGGGAAATGGAGAGAGTATTAATGAATAAAGAACTTGTATAATTTAACAAGCTCCGCATGAAATTCATTCAACAACATATATAATATGTAAGAAAGGAATAATTTAAAATTCTTCTATAATATTTTTTTATTAATCCTCTAACTTACAAAATAAAATATTTAATATTTTTGTTATATTTTTAAGGGATGTGAATTTAATTTTTATTTATCATACATACATACATACATACATATATATATATATATATGATAACATTATTATTCTTAAAAAAATGTAAGTCAAATGGTGTTTTGTCAACATTCTAGCTTGTTTTGTATTTAGGGTCTTTTTACGATCACGTCAACATTCCCTCTATTCTTCGAAATAAATGTTGACTAATACCAGCTTATTGTGCTATTGAAAAGTTTATAATGAAAAATTATTATAAAAATAATTGAAAAAAATCCCTAAACATTAAGTTGTGAAGCAAAGTGAATAAAAAGCCATAATAGAGAAGAAGATTAAAACTATTAATTAGCTCTATAACAACAGCATGGAATGAAAGACAAGGATGGAATATCTTTCTGCCATTTCATGTGGCAAAGTGATGAAATCAATTGACAGCTCCGTAATTTGCAGAACATTAATGAGGTTAAGGCGTGCTTTTCTTAATAACTAGAAATGGCAAATATGCAATGTCACCAAAGAAAGTAATATATACTATTATTGTTCATATTTTGTTCTATAAATTATTTTCATAATACCAGTTTTGAAAATCAGTTGAGAGTTGAGACAATGAAAGGGTAACAAAGCAAAGTTACTCTCAAAGAAAATACGATTACCCAATGCAATAAACAATTGGCTCGGTACGTAGTTGAGAGTTGAGACAACAACTCAACATTATATATCAAATCACGTAATGAATGGCTTGTGATTTGTGAAGCATAGGAACAATGTGTTTGATCCCAAGTCGCTTTTCTAAGGTAGTCATGTTTTGTTGACATTTGCCCATGTGAAAAGGGATGATGAAATATGATGTTAGTGACCCATTTCGTTACTACAAAACTGGGAAACAGGCATCACGCATTTTCATACACGTTACTCCAACAAGCAGCACCACACTACTATTCTACTATGATTTTTCTTGCTGAAAATTCTAGGATGCAGGGCTTAATAAAAAAAATTAGATAAATCAACACATGATATTTTAGTTTCTTTCTTTTGTAATTCAGTTTAGTGTAATTCAAAAATAAACTAATTATTTAAAGATAAATATATCTTATATCTAGCTTAATACGTAGTTCTAAGCGAATACAATCATATTAAATATTTACAAAAATAACTTTATTTTTTACAGTGATAATTTAACTCAAATAAATTATATACATGCTTGAAAAAGATTGAATTACTATTTTTTTTTCTAATTCAATAACTACTACTATTTAGCTGATAAATACTTTATCAATATACAAAGAGAGAATTAAAAATATCAATGACTTGAAACCAAGAGGAAGAGGAGGCAAGGTCACAAAATAAGGAAAAGAAAAGATGGCCAAGAGAATATCAGGCCCAATGGCCCAATGTACATGTTTCAATGAATGACTAGATTGGTGTTCCTTTGGTCGGTCCAATCACGTAGTTCAACTCAACTCTCAACCCGAACGTGTAGGCTTTAGGCCAAGGGTCAAGCATAATTTGATTACCCAATGACAGCAATTATGTGACCATTTTTGCACTTTATTTCACAAGATAATACATTTTAGGTTTATCTCGTTTAATAAATATTAAATAGGAGAAATCTAATAAAATATAATAAAAAAAGCACAAATGTACTAATAATTTATCATGTCACTTGAAAACCCTCTCCAAAGTTGAAATAGTTCACTATGTATTGATCCTCTCAAGTGTGATATATATTGTATGATCCTTAAGCAAAAGCTTTTACACAAACACTAGAAAACAATGAGTAGGAGCAAGAGAACATGATGTGACGTGAAGACATTGGGTTGGAAGCATAGCATTGGCAGACCAATTAATTGCATGAGTCGAAGCAAGAAACGCAGAAGAAATGGACTAAAGTTTGAGCCCACTAAACCATTCAGAATATTGTGGATGGTGGGGAACACCCATCATCACTAATTGGATTCAAGTCCTCTCTCTTTTTCTTATCTTCTTTTGAAATTAGCAAAAGGAAAGCCCACGAATTCCATATTAATCCACCTCAAAAAGTGCTGGTGACCAAAAATATTGAGCTTTCTGATCCAAAACGAAATGAGAAAAAGAATAGACTGAGGTATGTAATAGCCAAAACAAGCATTAGATTCTTCCACCGCTTATGAAGCATTCACGCCATTCACCGACAAACTAAAGTTTTTGGTTTCTTTGTTAAAGTACCAAAACACTACTAACCTTGTTTTGCTTTGCTATTCACCCCTCACTCACTACTTTTCAGAATGCCCACTTCTTTATTTTCCGGAGTCCATTGTCTCCTGATTTATCAAGTTTTTCAACCATCTTTAACAGATAACTTTACTTTTTTATATTTCATTCAGTTTAATTTTGATAGATTGTGAATATAGATTTTTTATGGTCTTAATTAATTAAAATACACATATATGTTCAATAATCGGATTCATGTGTAAAGTTTAACAGATCGAGTCAAAAGCAATCTCTTTGCAAAAAACATATTCTTGATTGGAATTTAGCACAAACAGTGCAGACAGAGAAAATTATAATTAATAAAAAGAAAAGTGAAAAAATAAAAGACAAAGCTAAAGTTTGTCTGATATTCATTCTTTTTGCTTACACATTGAAGATTCTGCTGTTTGGTTTTTAAGGAGGAACAAAAGAATTACCCGATTGTTTTATTGTATATATAACTGGCGAATATTGAAGCTTAATTGCAAAAACTAGCTTCAATTAGCATATCATCACCATCTCAATGATGGCAGGGTGTCTTGCAGATTTTTAACCATTCCTTGTAGGAAACTGCAAAGGTCTTTTCAGGACACACTAATTCGTCACCACAGGTTACGAATTATACATATACGATATGATTCATCTCTAAAGCATGCATTTACGATTTAAACTTCAATTAAGAAAATAACAAAAAAATTATTCATGTTTTTATTACAAATTTATAAAATGAATAACTATATTCATTGGATTTTGGATAACGTAGTAAACAACTAAGTTGAATCGTGGGCCTAATTAGTATCGTTCACTCCAAGTGACTAAATTGACCCACCAACTTTCTCATTCTGTCATTGTCCAATTAACTTCTAATTTTACTTTTTCTGTCAATCCAATAATTTTGGCAATCAGAAACTCTCTTCATATCCATGTGAAATTAAGAATAAAAAATTTAGATATAAAAGATTTATAATTTGGGAGATTCTCCTCTTTTCTTTGTCCGCTTTATATTTTTCGCTCCTAGATTTATCACTATAATTACTTTTGATTCATGCAATTAAACTTTAAAAGCTTTCAGAGTCTAGCATTTTCTTGCTGAACCGAAAGTGCAAGTGTTATTTCATACAGCCAAATATTTAAAAACCGTTGCTGTAGGAGACTAGGGGTCTTATTTTCTTCCTTCCATCTAATAATAACAGTAATATCTAGAGTATCAAATTATATACTACCAAACACGTACATCATCTGATAAAAATTTATTTCAGTTTAATCTGTGATTTTAAGTTCATGTTTCAATAAATTTAATAATGTTAAATACTTAATAGAAAAAACTTACTGTCTACAATTGTCTTACATTAATTAAATATTTGTAGTAAAGTGAGTGAAAGAAAGAAAGAAAGATATTAAGGCATATGTTGAAAATAGAGAGGAAACGTGACGTTCAATGGAAGGTCTGGTTTTGAAAAGCAGGCAATATATAATGGATACTTTAACTTTTACATAGAAGGCAACATAATAGGGTAAATACAATAAAAAATGAAGTTTCGTTAAGGCCCTCGAATATGCATACTAACAAACTTGGAAGCTACGTCTCTTGGTCCTTTTGCTTTGCTTGGTTGTGTTGGGGTTAGTATTATTGAAAAGACATTTGGAATCTTCTTTATTTCTCTTTCCTCCTCACTCTCTCACTCCACTCAACACAACAAATTGGGTACAAGACAGAACCAACCGAACCAAAACTAATATATACACTCCTTTGAGTACAACTAAAATTCTAGGAACGTGCACTCCTTACAAAACAAGTAGTAAATTATCGGTGTTGGAATATGGAATGCTTAAGAGGGTTGAGCCACCTTTTTGTAACAATGTTTCTCACTGGCTTCGGTGGTTTCATAGTTGTTCCAGTAATCACTGATGTTACTATGGCTGCAATTTGCCCTGGTCAAGATCAATGTTCCCTTGCCATTTACCTCAGTGGCTTCCAACAAGTTGTAAGCTTTTCCTACTCTTTCTCTTTGTATTTCAATTTTCACTTTCTGGGTAGCATCTTCTTCTCCAAAAACTGTTCTTTCATTGCCCACAAACGGTAGGTACTTCCAAACTCTTTAATTCACTGACCCAAGTTTCTATCTCTTTTTCCCATCACAACATGCTTCCATGCATTCATTAATTAAACGGTGGGTAATGAACATTAATTCAGATGCTGGCAAATTTTCATCAATATAGAAGATGATATTGGTTTTTAAACTATATAACTGGTTTTCATTATTTTATTTTATTTATTAGGCTTTCCTCTCTTGGGAGAGTTAAGTGTAAACGAGTTGTGAAGTGTAACACTATCAAATATCAGTTCGTACCACATACCTATTATATCCTAGCTAGTAGTGTTGTTTGGTGAAATTTTGAGAAAGAAGAGAGGTTATTCCTTTTTATAGACAAGACATACTACCAAGTTTTGTAATCTATGAAATCTTACCAATGAAGTCAACCTAAAATAAATAAATTGAAGTGAAATATCTCGTTCTATGATCAATTTTTTTTGGTCACTAAATCGAAAAATATAAAGTGTTTTAGTTATAGGAAACTTGAAAGTTACTTCACAACAAAGCAAAATTAAGTCATATGTACTTACTTTTCTTAGCTGTGTTATAGTCCATGCACTTTAGTTTATAGTTTTTAGTTAACACTTGCACGCAAGAAGACGAAATTGGTTCAAACAGTAGTATAATATTCCATGCTTGTCCAGTACCAAATGGAGCACAATCATCGCTAAAATTGTTTTATTCATGCAATTATCTTGATTAACTATTTATGTTGTCATTCAATAATTATCTCATTCTTTTCTAGTTCTTCTATTGACATAATGTTACACTCACCCACAAATATCAACTCTATTAATTTGTGAAATTAATATGCAATCAAATTCCAACAGATCTAATATTGTTTAAAGAGAAATTATTTTAAATTTGTGAGGGAAGTTTTATTATTTTGTATACTTAATTTTATTTATAAAAAAATGTAAAAAGTCACCTAAAGTGAGGAATATTATGATTATATGTACATAAACTTGAGTGCAAAAGCATTAAGTGGGTGAAGAAATAGAGAAAAAGAAAGAGAAGTAATGGTTGAAATTGATGATGCAGATGGGTGGTGTGGGGTCAGTGTTGATGACGCCATTAATAGGGAACTTGTCAGATCGATTCGGGAGGAAAGCCTTACTCACACTTCCCCTTACTGTCTCAGTAATTCCTCAAGGTCTGTCTGTCTACAATTATTTTAAGAGTTTTGATAAAATAACTGTTTATATTTAATTTTAATATAATAACTGTATAATTTTTTTATAAATTTTTTTTTATCTATAAATACTTAAACTTAATTCTAAGAATTAAGATTAATAAAACTTTTATTTTAAATCTCTTTCACTGAATTATTAATTCTTAAACACACCACTAATTAATCACTTTCCATTTTCATTTATTGAGCCGGATCAGATTCTTTGCAGTAATTATAATTTACAATTAGATCATTTTTATATTTTTGTTTAAGCAAAAAAAAGTTACTTCAAATTATAAACATACCACTAATTAATTCACGGGTATGCTCCCTTCGTGGGAAGCCTGATCATTAACAATGCCACCATAACACGGTACCATATATATATATATATATATATATATATCAGTTTTGTTATCACAGCTCGTTAAGGTTGATTTTATAAAATAGTAAAAATTATTAAGAAAATGACGTGGGAGTGTGTCCAAATTGAAAATTTTTACTGATTATTGTCCAAAAATATTAATTAAGGAATTTAGGAACAAAAAATAATTTAAAATTATAATAAAAGTATATTAATAACGTTAAATATTATATTAGTTAGTATTAAAAAATTTCTTTAAATCTTTTAACAAGTCATCATAAGAGCATAATCGATTTATATTTAGTACTATATACCCAAAGAAAATACTTTTAAGAATTTGGGAATCTGAGTCTTCACCTTATAATTTCCTGCGTTGCATGTAAATAGAGCGGTTAAATTGAGAGTTAACATTCATTTTTCATTTTTATGATAAGTAATGATTTTTTTCGTTGGTGAAAAATTTAGTATGAAAAATTGCTTCTTTCTATGTTCACAATCTGAAGATCGTTTTTATCACTGTTTAATCTTATCCATTGATCCAACCTTATTATTAATAAAAATAATATCTTTCTAACCTGAGTTGGCGACTTTAAAATATTTTAGTGAATAATGGTTCATCGAATATTAATATAAAATAAAATTTAGATTAAAAAAGTGGCAAAAACGTGATTACACGCACACAAACAAAGTGATTCATTGAAATTTGACACACTTTAAGGTAATTAGCGTGTCGATTAATATATAAAATAGAAATAAAATCGTATTTTCTTGAAAAGAATGGTAGTCAAACATGGGCCATAATCTTAGAAAAAAATATTTATATATGAAGTGTTTAACAATACATTAATTTTTTTCTTCAGCTTATAACAAGGTTGATTGGCTGCTATTGATTAAATAAATTGTTGTATTATATTTCAGTAATATTGGCATATAGCAGAGCCACAAAATTCTTCTACGCGTACTATGTGGTGAAAATTCTTGCTGCCATGGCAGGCGAAGGCTGCCTCCACTGCCTGGCTCTTGCATATGTGGTACTCACCAATCCCATATACCCATTAAACACATTGTTGTTTGTCATTATTTTATCAAGAGTCTTGTTAATCAGTATCTTTAGAATGCTGATTAATAAAACAAAATATATATTGTTTAGTGAGAATGCTTAATGATATTTTAAATTTTGTAACTAATATCTTAAATATACTGATTAGCATATGCCATATAATAAAAATGTTTCTTAGCTAGTCAATTGGTTCAAATCATAACATGTATTAGCATTTTGATGTTTTGATTAGGCAGACAAGGTTCCTGATGGGAAAAGAGCATCAGCATTTGGAATACTTGCTGGTGTAGGATCAGCAGCATTCGTTGGTGGAACTTTAGCTGCTCGTTTTCTATCTACTGCTTTAACATTTCAGGTTTCAAAATCAAGCTTGCTATCATTGTTAACTTAGATTTGTTAGCATCCAGCTAGGTGTTTGTGGCAGCTCATACCCCTACTCTTGTTTTTTCTGCATTTATGATTTGGTTTACTCAGGTTGCTGCAGTCTCATCAATGATTGCATTGGTGTACATGAGAATTTTCCTTAAGGAAAGTGTGCCTTGTGACAGCATGACACAGCCATTGTTGAAAGAGGCCCAGGAAGCATGCACTGAACAGGGTGAGGAAGATTCATCTCGAAGGACAGCAGGAACATTTAAGAAACTGCCTTCCTTAGGGGATTTAATTTGTTTGCTCAAGTGTAGGTACGTATAGCAGAAAATTAGTACATAGATTGGAGGCATTGGTTTTTTTAGCATGTTTAAACAGCTTAATTAAACTTAATTGTTAAAAAATATAAAATAAAATTTGATAAGTTTCTCCATGAAGCTTATTGAAATATACTTAAAAGTGCTTATAACACATAAACCAATTTCTTCCAAACACCTTTTGTGGCTACGTAGTTGTTGATCATGCAAGTTTCATGTTGCAGCCCCACATTCTCACAAGCGGGAGTTGTTTTGTTCTTCAATAGTCTTGCAGATGGTGGCTTGATGGCAGTGTGGCTGGTAAAATATTGCTTTCTCTTTTGAGGATAGTTAAATCGTGAGATATTACGATTTTAGTTGAGTTTATGGATACTGGACAATCAAGGACCTAAATTATTGTCGAGTAGTTAACTATATTTCATACTACATGCAGTATTATCTAAAGGCACGTTTTCAATTCGACAAGAACCAGTTTGCCGATTTGATGATGATTACTGGGGTTGGAGCAACTCTTGCACAAGTATGCCGAAGTCATAGCATAACTTTTTGTTACTTTGATGTGTTCTTTAATCTATTTCCCTAAATTTCATTTGAAATGTACTATTCTAATTGTCATGTGGTTGTTTTGTGCACTTGCAATTCACTTTCCCAGCTATTCTTCATGCCCTTCTTAGTACCTCTTATAGGAGAGGTGAAGCTGCTTTCGACTGGGCTACTAATTAGCTGCATAAATGTAAGTTCAAGCCTTAGGCTTGCTAATAATAACACACACACACACACATATAACATACAACGTACCACAAATGAGATCTATGAGACTAATGAAGATTTGCAATGTATGATGTTATGCAGCTTTTTATCTACAGCATATCATGGGAAGCATGGGTAATTTTCTTATAACAAATTATAGTTTGCTTATAATTTTTAAAACCTAGCAATCCTTCAAGACTGTTGAAAACCATGCAGGTTCCTTATGCTCTAGCAAGTTGTTCTGTTTTTGCAGTTTTTGTGCGCCCAAGTGTAAGTTTCTTCCTTGTATTTGTTATACCCGCTATCTAAATCGTACTACTTTGAAATAGTTCTCTGATCTTCCACAATGCTGTTGGTACAGATATGCAGCATTGCATCCAAGCAAGTTGGATCTTCTGAACAGGTATTCCTAATGAGAAAAAGGACTTGGATTTCCTGCATTTTAACAGGCATTTTTTGAGCATGATCCAAGAAAGTTCAGATTCTAATACTGAAATTCTGTTGTTAAAGTTATGTGTAGGGAAACTTTTATCTTGCTTTTGGTCCTAGTTTAACTGATCTGTCTTTGATACAGGGAATGGTTCAAGGATGCCTTTCAGGAATTAGTTCCGTTGCCAACATCGTTGCTCCGTTAATTTTCAGTCCACTGACAGGTATAACTATAATTAGGTGCAAAATTTAAGGGCATATATAGGACTGCTGAATTAGAAAAGAAAAAAAAAGAAGCTAATAAGCTTCTTCATGTATGCAGCCTTATTCCTGTCAGAAGACGCACCGTTTTATTTTCCTGGATTCAGTCTAATGTGCCTTGGGCTAGCACTGGTAAGATGATCTTTCCAACTCAAGATCAAGCATTTAGTGGGGTTAGTTATAGAATAATATCAGGGATATTTTATATACTTTTCTAAACAATGTCTAACTCAAACTGAAAGTATCCAAATGAAGCTTGTTTAGGATGTGCTGAAATTGTTGGTGTGGACGATGCCAGTAGCATTAATTTACATGCATTAACAAGATTTGGGTTGATGATCACTGATTTAGTTTCTCTAGGATCATCTGCTGACTGCTTGAATTTTTCATCGTTTGTTAATTGATTCTTCCAACGCTCCTTGTTCATGCACTTAAACCATCACACATTGTATTTCAGATGATAGCATTTTTTCAGAGTCTAATGATCCGTGCTGCTCCTCCTATTGCTGGCGGCAAAATTAGCTGTAACCGCAGCACAGATACCTTGGTCTGAGAAGGAGGATAAGATTACTATGTTCTCAAGGCAACAACATAATCTCTTTATGCTTCATTTTGACTAAGCAAAATTGTTGTTCATAGCCTATCAGCGATATATTACAAAGATAACAGACGGAATCACAATTTCGTGTAGATTCTAAGGTCGACATATATGCTTTGTTCACTTAGGGATCTAGAAGACTAAATGACAGAATGCAGATAATAGAACGTGAAGTTGGTAGTAATCAGGTGAACCAACCGGTGAAGCACAGATTTGTGCGCAATTATGAAGAGGACATGTGGCACGTATTTATGAACCATAGGGTCTCATCAGTTGCTTCTTAGCCATCGAACTTTTCAGTGTTAGTTATTTGTATGTAAAAACCCTTAGCATCATAGTTTAGCTAGTATATTTTTCCCAAATTTCTTATGTGTAGCGTGTTTCACACACGTTTCAGTAATCAGTAGACATTAGTCAAGAACTTTGTAATTTTTATATTTTAAATTATGGATGATTGACATTTAGAGTATTTGACTTTGGACTGGTTAATGTAATGATTGATATTTCTATTTAAGTTTGCATGCAAGCCCTTGAAACCGTGATATATATGGCCCAAGCCAGGAAGATCTCTGTCTCAACTTTCCTATCATTATCATGCAAAGAAAAGTCCCATTCCCCATCAGCTGTACGTCCATTTTCCATTGTTTCTCCTATTTAAAAATATCAGGGAAGTCTGAAGGGTAAAAAGGACTAATGCATACAACCAAGCATCAACCTTTATCCCTCAGCTAACTACCAAGGGTATACCTCAGTCAGGATAATTAAGGAATCCAACAATTTACTAACTGCTGAACTTTTAACTACAGCTTTTTTTATCCTTAAACATCCAACCATTTCAAGAAAGTGTATTGAAAGTGATGCAAGGTCCAAGCATAAGCTCCAGCAAGTGCATGACGGCTATTATAAGCAAAAATCAACCGGCAAATTTTCCTGAAATGTGTTGGCATCTTTTATTTCTTTCTTCCCCTCTCCTGCGGCTAAAATTATACTAGAGACCCAATTATGGGCAGGAACTAAGAAATCCTGTTGTTCAGTAGCCAACATTTATGTATGTATAATCGCATTGTCACAAATACTGTTAGATTTTTAAAAAAATATTAGGTAAGAAGCCTTACAATAAATAAGACACCATAATGTAACTCCAAAACCTTAAAGCAATGGATACATGGGTTCATCTCTTTATAAACCCCTAACTTACTCATATCTCATTTCATGTGAGACTCAATTCACACTTGATTTCAACAAATACCATTAGCTTTAAGGAAAATCTGGCACAAAAATTAAATTAAAAAAAAACCAGGGTGGAGGATAAATAATACTGATTAAAATATTACAGAGATAACCCAATGAGCAATATCAGAAATTAAAATAATAATAACAAAAAGAAAAAGAAGATCGATCTCACAGAATGTAGAGAAGCAAAGGAATATTTTTGTAATGTATTGTACATAATCAAATCGATGAGCTTAGAAAGTTTTTGATAGGCAGATGATCATACAAATGAGTTTGAGGCTATCTATAAACATAAACATATTACTATACAAATAATTCCAGTCTCTGACAATTTTTACTGTAAGCATGAAAACCTAAAGAATATACAAGACACCTAAACTGAAGTTCCATGATCAGGCAGAAAATATATGCTCTGTAAGCAGGTAATTCACTCATGAAATGGGGAATATGTCATCATTGTCGTTATCTTCATCCATATACCTGAACTTAAGATCATCCCATCCTTCTCCTTTATAATTAAAACTTGAATTCAAATAGCAATTTGTCTCCTGGAATAAGTTCAAGTGATCTACAAGCTTATGATACGCATTGCATCCACAACACTAACAAAGAACAATGATAAAAAAAAAAAATGGTCAGTGCCTGGTTTTCAGGTTTTAAAGTATGGGGAGGGTGGCTAAAAATTGTGTACATTCATGTATATTATATAATTATGTAACAATATGCAATTAACCATATAAAATTATGTATACAAATATTGAAATATATTTAAAATTATAATTTTTTTACTGTTAAATTAACATGTCTCTTTCTCTAATATATCATATGTGGTAGTCCCACATCTGGTGATTCTGGTAAGTGAAAGAGAAGAGATAAAACTTTTCATTCTATAGTCTGTCATTCATATGCTAGACCATGTGGGAAACGGGGCAGAAGAGGGATTCTTATTGTAAAAACCTAGCTTACGTGGCATGGAGGGAGAGGGAAATGGTTAGAGGAAGGATACAAGAGAGAGAGAGATATGAGGAAGAAGGGAGGCAATCAATTAAGTAGTTTTCGGTGGCTCTTGGCATAGGGGAGAGAAGTTTTTCCTTCCCTGATTTGTTTACTTTGGTTATCAGTTTCTATATGTTCTTCATATTTGTCTTGTAATCATAGTACTGTCCTCTGAATAATTCCTTTATTAGTTCATACTTCATAGTAAATTCAGTTCCTATCATAGTCTCACAAAGAATAAATAAAAGATGTGTTTCAGAAGGTTACCTGGACAAAAACAGTGCCATCGGTGTAAGCATGGGGATTAATAGCCCGAGTAGTTCGCTGACCGCATATGGTACAAGTAAAAGCCACCAGCATCCTTCTCCTAGGGGATTTCGTGAAGAGAGACCACGGGAAAGTGGAGATGTTCTCTGTCCCGGATTCGTTATCCCTACCAACTGCAGGAACAGATGGCCCTTCCATCCCTGAACCTGTGGTCCATCCTCTACCTGCTGCAGCACTCAGCACCAACCCCATGGCAGCATCCTGACCCCCACAAATTTCTTATCAGAATCCAGTAATTTTCATGACCATAAAACTATACTTCCTCCATTACAAGCGATGCAATTGACCCTTTTGAAATTTCACATGTTTTAGGTGCAAATGCATTGAAGTTAAGATTTTGGGAAAGGAATAACACAATTGAATATCGCAACCCTTTCCCGAAATGTAATTGACCCTCTGAAATTTCGGCTATTTTAGGAACGAAAATGCACTCAAGCATATATTTTGGGGCAGGAATAACACAATTACCAAAAAACCTAAAAAAATATAAACAAATTCTTGCATCAACTACAGGGAATGCAATGTACCCTTCGAAATTCCAGACAAGTTCAGAGCAGAAATGGATTAAAGTTGGAATTTTGGGTAAAGAAAAATATGTACTTTGGAAAGAGGTGAAAGGGAGAGGCGACGATCGCTGAGAATCGGAAGCTTGTTGTCGATCTTGTCGTTGGAATCTGAATCGCGACCATCATCACCTGAAAGAAACAAAACGAATCAGAAATTTGATGCAGATAAAGAGAAAATGAATAGAATAATAGAACAGAATACTCACGCTTTGAGGGTATACGAAAGTGAACGGTCTTTGGAGAAAGGGAAATTCTTGTAGAAGGGAAAATGGAAAAGGGAGAAGAGGAAGAAGGTATAATTGCAGAAGAAGATGTGGCCAATGTTTCCATCATCGATCAATCTTTCAAATTCTGAATTCAGATATGCAATTCAATGGAATGAAAACCAAACCAAAATAAAAACAATCTCCTCTCAAGCGATCGTTCTTTTCTCCCCACAAAATATCATAACAGTAACACCACAAATAATAATATAATAAAATCATATAAGACAAAGCAGTCAGAGTTTTAGTCAACAAAAATTAAATATAATAATAATTTAATTTAAGATAACACTTCATTTTAATTTATATGTATACCAAAGATACATAATTGTATGGAAAAAAGGTGTTAAAGCTTATTTTGTTTTCCCAGATAAAAATTTGAATTTGTAATATTGGAGATGAATAATTATAATTTTTTATACTTTATTCAATAATCCCATATATTATTACACTTGATAAGAAAATATGTAAAAAGTTTAAAAATGATTTTTTAATAAAAAATATTTTACTGATAATATTAAGAAACCTGTATTGAAATATACAAATATCGATATTTAAAATTATGACTTTGAAAATTTTAAAAAATTAATATCATTAGTCATGTAATAAAATAGTTAATTTAGTAATGATAAATATATATTTAATATAAATAATGAAAATTTTTATTTTTTGAATGACCAAAAAGAGGAAATGTATTAATTTAAAGAAGGTACCTAATTACTGTATAAATATAAATTGATATTAGTATTTAATTACTTTATCAATTAAACAAAAAATATGGGGTGATGAGTTGCCTAGACCATTCTACGATGGTTTGCAGTTGGTGAACAAACCATCAACGTGCAGTCCCCATTTTATCAGCCTAATTTAGATTATTGAGCTTTAATAAAATTAACCGAATTTCAACAATTAAACTTTAATCAAATAAACATATATTAAAAAAATATTTAATTAAACTGTAGATTCAAACACATCATTATCCTTAAATAAAGAACTAAAATCACGATTCCTCTTATAATGAATTCATTTTAAGCGGTGACTTGTTTTCTTTTCTTCTATTCGAATCAGGGAATAAAAAATATTAAAAAAATATTAAAAAGTAAAAAAATTAATGTGTGAAATTTTATTATTAATCAGGAAGGGCAGTGACAGCACTCTTTTATTTATATAAACCAAGAACTGAATGTCAAATATGCAATAATTCTTAAAAAAATGTACAAAGTTTTCATAAATATCATTCAAATTAAGATAAATAACTTCCACAAGTCTCAACTCAGGGGAAGAAAATGTTTTTTTTTTTTTTTTCTAATCTGAAAAGCAAAGAAACAAAGCAAAGCCCTCCAAAATTGAGGGCAATGGTATATGGAGTAATGTTTAGAGTTTAGACATAGTATGGAGTATTGCACAAAACAGTTATCACTAATTCTAAGTTATTTACAATTGGTACCATTGTTTTAGAAGGGCCAAGATGTGAAAACTCTCAACTGAACAAGTCCTCTTGGCTGGTTGTATCTCCTCCATCATCATCATCATCATCATCATCATCGTTAGAACTGTCACTATTTGCATTGAATGTCAATATCAACTCTAGAAGGTCTCGACCAGCAGCTGAGTTTTCGCCGCCACTTTCTGTCCGAATCCTTCGTCTTGGAAGTGAAAACAGTTGCAACATCAGGTCTTCAGGAGAAGCTATCCGGTACATCCAGCCCCTAGCCTTGGGTTTCTGTTGGACACACAAAATTTTCATCAATTTCCATCATTACAACCACCAGCAAAATTATCGTCGTTGTCATTGTCATCATTATTATCATCACCAACACTATTGTTGTCATCACCATCACAATCATACTCATAATCACCATCATCATTATAATCATTGAAATAATCATCATTGTCCTCATCACAATTGTCGTCGTCTTCATCGTCGTCTTCATCAGACATATCATCATCAGAGTCATCATCAAACATATCATCATCTTCATAATCATCCTCGTCGTCCTCCTCCTCATCACCATCAATCGTAAACCAATGAATTCGCTCAAACATGGGAACCTTCTTCAAAGAAGTGACAGCAGAGAAATTAGTTCCTCTGCTGCTTAAACAGTTCATGTAACATAAATATCAATCTTGCTCTGATTTATCATTTAACAATAACAGCCAGTATTGGTGTTAAAATCAGGTTCTCCTACGACTTTCCTAGATTAGCATATCATATTTTGTTTCTTTTATTATATGTTTTTAAAAGCAGTTGTAAATACTTTTAGGTAGATATATATTTAAAAATATATATAATGCTCATTCATACAATCACAGGTGAATAGATTATTTATCATGCTTTGCATTCACAACACGCACCCAATGGGGTACCCACTCAATTCCCCTCGGGGCAGCATATTCAAGCCTCTGACTTATATCAGTTTATTTAACCCATTTTCCAGACAAATCACTCAGCCTTATAATGATATGGCAGGCATATAAAGCTTACCACATCATCCAAATGTTAACCATTCCAACCCACTAAGCCAGTGCATGTTCAGAAGTTTTCTAGCACACATTCCTCTGCCAAAATTATTGAATGTTGCCCTGGAAATAACTGAAATCACCTTGGCCTATTACAGAGCTAGTTCTCATTTATACATGCCGGTACCTGTCTTTTCATCTGTGTGGTACACTTCTATGTTGTTCAGGTTGTGGACCTTTTTTGGTCTTTGTGTAAACTAGACTTCGTCCTTTGGGTCTTTGGATGCCATACTGTTTTTGGAGAATGTCTATTGTCACTCCCATGTGTCTATTGCTACTCGTATTTAAGTGATTTTTATCTAAGAGATACCATTAATATGATTATAAGAGAGAAAAAAGAATGTTTTACATGGCACGCTGTATGATTTGGTATGTGGTATGGATACAAAACTTTTCCAGGCATTAGGAACAGGAGAGTATATTTATTTGGTTCTCTTTTTCGAAAAGAAATTTGCTTACCATTGGATCACTAACCAATAACAATTTAACGTCTATTGTACTAATATGCAATAAAATTTAATAAAATATAAATTGAAATTTCAAAAATAACATAATTCCAAAATACTTTCATAAAGTCATAAAATAACAAAATCGAAGTTTCATAATTCAGAAATATAAATATATGTTTTATAATCCTAATTCTAGATTCTATGAATTAGTCTTTTAAGTGATGCTGTGCATTTAAGGGCCAGCCTCAGTTAGGTCTTATTTTTAAAAACGGATACCCACATCATCTCCTTCAAGCGCCAAGTCCTCTTCAAGCATGCAGCACAAATCGCACATGTAGAAGCCAAGGCTGCTGAGCAGAGTTGCTGTCCTTAAGGCATCAAATCCTATGCTACAAGGTCTCATTTCATAACACTACTACAAACATTTTGGGTCATAAATGAACCACATTTGGGACCAATGGTATGCAGGGGTATTACAGAACCATGTAGCACTCTTGCTCACCAAGTTCAGTTCAATTCCAAGTTTCCAACCTTGGAGAGCAAGGAACAGACCCATAGAGAGACTGTGAAGGGTTTTCTGAACTGGGATGTGCATGGTTCGACCCAATTTCAGGTGCAACCCAGTTGGTCCAGAATCACACAATACACAGTTTTTCTGCAATTGACCAACAATACACATGATTCACTATGTGATTCAGGACCAAAATCGATTCAGCATCCAATCTGTATCGCTCACTGCATCTCTGAATCACATCAAATTGTAATAATCAAATTGATTCATACAATTCCGACTACAATGATCAAAACAATAAAGTCTGATCAAGGGAAATTCACAAATGATCCATCATTAAATACTAATGGTAGATAAGAGTCAAGGGTTTTCAAATTTAAGGCATGGGTGAGAATGTAACATCAGGGTTTTAGGTTCCTCAGCTGATAGGACCAAAAAAGCTTTGGACAATATCTTCACATTAGGTGTTTGGGTCCTTCTTATGTTTATACATATATAGTTTTATATAAACTTTCCCACACATAAAAGGCATCATCCACATATAATAATTTTATTTTGTGATTTTAAGTTCTGACTTGCAATGATTGACTCAAGAAGACAGATTTGTACCTGCTCAATATTTTTGGGCAAAGTAGCTTTCTCATGGGCCTTTGGAGTCCATATCTTAACGTCATGCTCAATACCACTGCTTGCAAGAACCATTGTATGAGGATGAGACTCAATGCAGTTCACAACATGCTTATCTGCTTCCATGACACGAACAAGCTGACCACCTTTCTTTTTCCATATGAAAATCCGACCACAGTCAGACCCACTCACTACATACTCACATTTAGGTCCAAAAAAGTTAACACCCTTCACTGTCTCACGATTCCTGTGTCCCTTAAAAACTTGTGGGGTGATTTTCTCATCAGCATCCATGTTTGATGGAGATGCCACAGAACAATGACTACCTCCTATTTCACTTGAATCACTGCTCATAGATTTAGGGGACCCAGGAGCAGGGTTTGGTCCCAAACCCATATCTTGTGTAAATAGGTAAATAAACTCATCATTGTATGACACAAGCAGCTCTCTTTGTTCAGAAAAGGCCAAGCCTGTTATTCCAACCCGCTCATCGCCAATCAAGTGTGGAGGGCAAAAGAAGTCAGTTGGTTGACCAAAATCAGTTGATCCATCCCACTTGTACTTGCGAATATCATAAAGTCGAGCATACTCATCAGACCCAGCAACCGCAAAGAAATTTGGGTTCCTTGGATCAATTGCAATTGCATTAAGATGGATGACTGGCATGTAATTCCATCTGTCTTTAATTGGTTGGCACGTAAAAAGTTCTGTTGCAACCCCAGTTCTCAGATCAAACTGTCAAAACACTTGGTGAGAGATAGTTAAAGGATAAACAATAAAAAATTAGAAAGTAGGAAAGGATCAATCACTCACATGCTGTACCAATCCATCTTCACCACAGGTATAAAATATATGAGGGCTACCTGGCTCAATAGCCAATTTATGAGCCCTTCCTTGATGCTTGGCCAGTAACTTAGTTTCAACTCCTCCATTTTCAAGAATTTGAGCATGCCTCACCTAAAATTGAGAGTTTGCATAGGGAAACACCCTTCTTTCAGTAAAACGATCTTAAGAAGATCCATGCATGTTCATAAAACAATAGAAACTTGCTATATATGTCTCCTCAGTCAGACGTAGATGAACAAGTTTGCGAAACAAATGAGCCATCCAGAAAGAAATATAGCATTGTTAGTTAATACACAAAAATTGGAACAATCAGCAGATATGAAAGGAAAATGCATAAGGTTTGTTAACACATTTAAATGGAACAGGAAGGATCCTTATCACAGAGAGGATGTACCTGTCCATCAGCAGCACAGGTGACGATGCTTTGATCATCGGAATGAGGCATGATCTTTGCCTGGAAAACATTGTTACTGTGACCAGAATGGAAAGAGAGTCTAATTCGACCAGTTTCCCAGTCCCAGAGAATAACCCTCCTGTCATCAGAACCCGACACCAGAATGTCACCATCTGCATTGAAGCTCACAGTGTTCACACAACCTCTGTGCTTTTCCAGCTTCCTTAGCACATCAAGCCGAAGCACAAGATCCTAAAACACACGACACTAATTGATAAGTAGGGTATAGCTCTGAGCTTCTGCACAGAGGCACATTCAGATTCAATATAGAACTACACAACAAAACACCCTAATTAGAATTATTGTAATCTATATAAGAGGCAAAAGCAAAGAATCAGCTTGATCTAAGAGCAAAAACAAAACACCCTTTACAAGAAAAAGTTAAAAAGGGGACATTTTGTAGTGGAATTAAAAACAGAAACGAAAACCCAGAAGCATGAAAGGGAAAAAAAATGAAAATTTTGGGGTTGAGAGAAGAGGGGTACCTCGGAGGCAGCGAGACGATGAACGAAATTTCTAGGTGGTAGGTGGCCGAGTTCGCGATTGCAGAGATCGGGAAGTGCCTTATAGAGGGTTGATATGGATCTTTTCTTCATCCTGCGGAGAGAAAAAGGAATGAACGATGAATGATGAACAGATAATAGAGATGGGTTTGGGTGCAGTGATGAGAGAGTGGTGTCCTTTTCTTTGGGCTGTGCTGTGCTGTGCTGTGTTGATGGAATTGAATTGAAAGGAATGGAAGATATGTATGTATATATACATAAATGAGATGATGATGATGATGATGATGATGATATGTTGGAATACTCACGTAAATTGCTCCACAGGAACTGTTCTGTTCTGCTAACGTGCCACGCCACTGCCACTTTCTTTCTAACCTTCAATTAATTAAATAAATACAACACCTCTCAACCTTAACCTGTTTTGTTTACTCTTTACATTCAACCCTTTTAAAGAACACCGAGGGCCTTAAATTGGGCCCGGACTGTCACTCTGTTGGATTGGGATTAATTTTTTTATGTTTTTTAACACTATCTGATCTTGGATTCAATTTATTTTCTAGACAAAAAATACTTATTCACTTATTTCATGGATGAGACACTTATTTCATGGATGAGACATATAAGATAATTTAAATATCATAAGAAATCACATGAGAGTAACAAAACATATATTATATATAAATAATGCAATTTTTTTTATGAAAAGTAAATTCTAATATTAATAATGAGACTATAGTAGTAGTAATAATAATAATAATAATATATAACCAAAAACACTTTTTTTTATTTTCTAAAAGAAAAACTAGTTTTATACATAATTTTTTGTCTAAAGGGTAAATCAAAAAATATATAATAAAAATTTGTTTAAAGTAAGATTAAAATGAAATAATAACATTAAAAAATAAAAATATAAAATTAAATTAAATACCTATTATGTAAAAAATTATATACTAAAAAGTAAAACTAAGTTACATTTAGAAACTCAAAAACTACTGTAGAATAACGGCAGAAGTAGGTTGTGTAATTTTAAAAATTGACATGTTTTTAGAATTTAAATAAATAAACATCAGGAAAAAAAAAAAATATGGGAGTGCAACGGATAAAGCATTTGAAAGTGTAGTTATGAAAATGTGAGGAAGAAGAAGTAGCAGAGGATGATGATGCGATTGGGGTGTGGGCAACAGCGTCATGGTGAAGAGCTCTCATGGAAATGGAAGCAAGCACAAACCAACGCGCGCGTGGTTCGAATGGAGAGCTGCACACTAACGAAACAAGGGCAAAGGTTTCTGACAAAACTAACAACCTCTTCCGCCACCAACGACAACTTGATTCGAAGATTCGTACTAGGTTCTCCCAAATCTGTTGTTCTCACCACTCTCTCACACCTTCTCTCTCCTTCCACCTCTTACCCACACCTCTCTTCCATTGCACTTCCCGTAAGTACTTCAGATTCAACTCTCTTCTCATCTTTCTACCGTAATAATAACAATTGCGTCATCTCATAATTCACTAAATTTTTCAGCTTTATGCGAGAATCACCGAATCACCTTGGTTCTCTTGGAACCCCGCTACTGTAGCAGACTTGGCAGCGCTTCTTCACAAACTGGGACACCACCAACAATCACAAATTCTCATTTCTGAAGCCACTTCAAAGTTAGAATCTCGCACGCGTGACCTCGTTCTTTTCTATGGTAAACTCTTGGAGTCACACTCCAAGCGAGGTTCACAAACGGGGTTTGATGATGCTTATTGTTACCTTAACGGGCTTCTTTGTACTTCTTCTTCTGTTTATGTTAAGCGCAGGGCTTATGAGTATATGGTGAGTGGCTTGTGTACAATGGATAGGCCTCGTGAGGCTGAGGATTTGGTTCAGGATTTGAGGGACAGTGGAGGGCTTCAACCTTCGGGTTTTGAGTTCAAGTCCATTGTGTATGGATATGGAAGGTTGGGTTTGTTTCAGGATTTGCTGAGAGTGGTGGATCAGATGCAGAAAAGTGGGCTTGTTGTTGATACTGTTGTTTATAACATGGTTCTTTCAACTTATGGTATTCATGGGGAGCACTTGAAAATGGTATATTGGCTTCAGAGGATGAGAAGTTCTGGCGTGCCCTTCTCTGTGAGGACCTTCAATTCTGTGTCAAATTGTTGCCCAACAATCATGAGAATTGTGGGGGAGTTGAATGAGCTACCGTTGTCTATTGGAGAGTTGAGTGCTAGGTTAGAAGGAGGGGAGGGTATGGTGATTAGGGAGTTATTGGAGTGTGCTTTGATTTTGGAGGAGGTAATGGTGTGGGATTCTTTGGAGGCAAAATTGGATTTGCATGGATTCCACTTGGGTTCATCCTATTTGATTGTGTTGCTATGGTTGGAGGAGATGCAACGAAGGTTGAACCACTCAAATTGTGGAGTTCCTGCTCAAATTACTGTGGTTTGTGGGTCAGGAAAGCATAGCAGTGTTAGAGGAGAGTCCCCGGTGAGAGTATTGGTTCAAAAGATGATGGTCAATATGGGAGGTCCTCTGAAGGTTGATAGGAAGAACAATGGCTGCTTTATTGCCAAAGGTAAAGCTGTGAAAAACTGGCTGTGTGAATTGAGGAAGCCAGGCATGAATGATTGAACACCAATAGAATATGTCTCTGAGGGATTGATTGTCTAAGGCAGCATATAGACCCAAATTTTGCTGCATAAACTAAACTTATTTGTATGGGTTTTCTTTTCTATAACTTGTATTAGCAGAAATTTCTCAACCAAAGGAATGTTTTGTTATAATAAATGCAAGTGTTCATCGTTAGAAAATATGTTTTCTCAGAATGAAGTCTTGCTTACTGCATATAAATCTACAGTTAGCCATTGGATTGGGATCCTCTTCAAATCAATGCCCTTGGCCTTTGCTTTTATTTGGTTGGCACGTAGTAGGATCAATTTCTGGTAATTTTAGTGCAGAAGATTTTCTAGACCTGCCATATTTTGTTCACATCGTGAGGATTGGGATTCAGTCCCCTTTTTGCGGGAACGGGACCGTTCAGTTACGGGACTAAATCCGGATCCAGATCATTATATTTATTTGCATTTTACCATTTTACTAGTGATAAAGATAAAACAGGAATAATGAAACTACAACTCTTACCATGCCCTCTAATTTCCAATCAATAAAAGAGCATCCTTATTATATTCTGTCATAAAATATCCAAACAATGGATCCATTTTATTCTATTCCATTCCATTTCTTTCACTTTAAGTTGTTATTTTTACATATCACTGAAAAAAGGAAGTTGTTTTTACATCACATCTAACTAAACAATATCTGATCAACTAACCAAAGTAAAATGGAGTCCACTTAATCCCCACTCTGGACAGTGTTCTCATTGCTGCTTCCTCGCAAAAGGCTAGTATTAAGTGTTTAGCCAGATACAAAGAATAATGGTAAATTACAAAAGATAAGATGACTGGAATAGCACTAAGTGAAGCAATAGCACAGAAGATCCATTTGGGAAAGAAGTTATAGACCAAAACTGTACCAGACATGACAGAGATGGTACCCAAGATTCCAACAGAAGCATAAAGTAACAGACAGCCACCCACAATTCTTGTTAGTCGGAAGCTAACAAAACATTGGTCTGGCATCCATTTTGAAGGGAGAATAACTGAAGTGAAGAGCAGCATTGATACAGCACAGAAGCTTATTCCAAATGCCACAGATACAATAAATATAATGTACCATCTGTTCTGGTCAAAAACAGGAGTCTCTCCACTGATATTGTTAGTGCGAATGGTGAGAGCTGCACTTATCCCTAACGTGACAACAAGAGTTCCTACAACTAGAAAATTATTTGCTATTCCATTCAGTTCACATACTGCTTTTTCAGATAGTTCTTTGTGTTCCCTATAAAATACTTCTCTCGGCCTCCATCCATCTCTATTTACCTTTGTTTTCAATGCAGGTGGAGCTGTCTTCTCCACTTCCTATACATTTAAAACAAATAGAAATTTAGGAAGATGACAATGTCTCTGATTGAGTAAATTTATGCGAAAGCACATGTAGAAGAAGAAAATAAGAAGAAAAAAAAATAAAATTATAAGCTTTCTCGATTAACTTCTCCATAACATGTAGTACATAACTAACTTGTTAAAAGAGTTTTATTTGTTTTATCTTCTTATTTTCTTCTTTTACAGGTGCTTTTACAAAAACTTATCTAAACTAGATCAAAATCAAAGTATAATTAAAAAGATTTTACTAACCAAAGTTCTAAGTTAAAATGATAAATAAAAAAATATTAAAAATTACTTCAGAGATGCATTAAAAATCATGATAGAAGTGTATGATAATTGTTTAAGAAAGATACTAATCATGTAGATGCACCTTAAACCATAGCTCCTCGCTACAAATAAGAACTTGATGCATTGGTGATCCAAATCTTCCTTCAGCTGCTAACTTTCCAGCTAAATGAAGAACATTGTTTCCATCATAATCGACCAGTTGTAACATAACATTCTTGTATGCCCCCTTGCTCTTTATTAATCTGTACACGGTAACATGCCGATGCAAAATTGCAATGTGAAGTAAGCTTTGCCCTTCAGAATTCACTTTCGTCAACAAAGCTGGATTGTACTTAAAAATAAATTCTAAAATCATGACATTTCCAGATTTTGCTGCATCAAACATTGCTTCTGAAGTTCTCTCTGAGTTCAGAAATTCCTCTTCCATACCCTCGAACAGCAAACTAAGAATATCTTGATAACCAGGAGCATTCTGGCATAGTGCTAACATTAAGTGTAAATAATTCTGAGTATTTTTGGTATGACAATAAAAGAAAGAAAAGAGAAAGCCAGATATGAGACACCCATTACAGCTAGCAGCAAAAAAATGACATAGGGTTTGAGTTTGATTGATATAACTATTATTTTTTACGCTAAATGCTGATATACCTATGCAAGACTAAATAGCAATAAAAAATAATAATAAAGTAAACTTATTTCTATATAATTTGTGAGTATGAATCAATAATTTTTTTAAATAGATAATTTCAAGAATTAATTTTTATAGTGTCAAGTAATTTTTTTTATATATAAAACATTTATTTGTATTCAATTTTACTTTAAATTTTGATTTTTTATAATTATTTATTTAAAATGTATCTTTATTCAATTTTATTTAATATAATAAATTATTTAATTTTTAAAATTCATTAAATTTTAAAATAATAATATAATATATTAAAAAATTTAATTAATAATATCCATGCAACAAAAAAATTACTAGTTAAAATAAAATTAAGGATTTGCTATTTCTTTTAAGTAATGAAAATTGTTCTGAACTGTTATTTTGTAATGTGTTTAAATTGGATAATATACATTATTGTAAAAAAAAAAAATAGATAATATACATGAACGGAGAGTGCAATATTATTTGGAAATAAAATTTCTGAAAAGGTTGCACTAATAACTTTTTGAGAAGAAAAATGTTTTGTATTTCACAAAAGACATTCATATTGATCTTTTGGCATTTTTCTTAATGACAATATCGAAGTGTACTAAAATGAAAGGTGAGAGAACTAACGCAATTGAGCAAGCACTTGCAATGGTGTTCGCCTCTCTTCGTTTTCTGTACTTGCCAGTATTGGATATTTATCCAACAAATTCCATGCCACAGCTACAAATGTCCATAAAAATCATTGCAGAGATTGAGAATAGTTTTAAATTTCGACATTGACAGAAGAATTCAAGAAGTAAAACTGAAATTGGCATGTAATTAAGCACGATACCTGATCTAAAATTAACTTTTAATATAAAATTATGAAAAGATTCATTTTGATAACTTAAAAATATTAGTAATACACTCTTGTTGATGATTAAAATTTATTACAAATTTTAAAAATTTTACTCTTACTCACTTCTAATTAATTTATTAATCAAATAAGTTCATAAATTTAGTTTGGATAAACTTCTAAAGAAATTTTTGTAAAAAAAAATCAATATAAAAAATAAATAATCTTTTTTTTCATAAGTTAGAAACCAACGATGTTTCTTAATATTTTGCATAAATATATTTTTTAGATTAATTTTTTTCTCTTATAAAATCTTATCTAAGAGTTTACCCAACCATAATAATGGCAAAACCCAAGAAAAGAGCAGAAGTTTTTCAAGCAGTGAAAAACGTGTGTGGGTGAACTTACTGTAAATGTTGTTGGTAATGGTCAAGAAAAACAGCGTGACGATGTCTGGGAAGGGAAGATTAATGTGGATGTCTTGTCGGGTGTTTTGAAACAGGAATTCGACCATACGAGGATGCCCAGCAGAGGATGCCAAATGAATTGGTAGCATATCTTTATGCCCTCTACTCCATACCAGATTTGGGTTCTTCTCTAATAAAATTGTTGCAATTTCTACGTTTCCTGAAATTGCAGCCATGCAAAATGGGGTGTTGCCATCTACCTTGCGAATTTCCATATTTGGCAATGTGCTACGTTCTAACAATTTTGCTGTAAAAGTGATTTGCTGCATGCTCACTGCAACATGGAGGGCTGTGTCTCCATCCCCAGTCAGAGGAATGCATTCCCAGTTTGGATGACTTTTATCATACCCTATTGCTAACGCCCAATCCCCTAACGTCGCTGCCATGTATATTTCCCTTTTATGTGTTCCTGTACATCTCATCAACATCAATGCCTTCAATTGTTGCTGCAATTATCATGCTCATATCTTACACAACCACATGATACATACGATAACGTAAACAAAATGTAGAAAATAAAATAATAAATCGAATCATATTCTTGATTTGGATCCATTTTATTTTCCCTGAAAAACTAAACCGTGCCCCCACAGCAGAAAGATAAACAAAAACGAAAAATTACGAGGATAGTAACAGAGATTATTTTTACTATTAATACTATTTAAATGAAAGTAACAATTAAATAGTAACATAGAATCAAACATATTTATATTAATATTTAAGAGTAAAGATAAATACTTTGATGGTAATTAAAACTTAAACTTACTATCAGGCTGGGGCATGACACCAGCAAATGGCAGCTGCAGGTTGATTACAAAACTGTGATTCCTTATTATGAATCGATGTTTCTGCAAAATCAGAGAGTAGTGGTAATGATATATTGATGATGAGAAAGTTAATTGGCATGCATATGTTGTTATCAAAGTGAAAGATTGCTTCGTGAAGCGTTGAACAGTGATCCACGTCAGTTTTGGAACAACTGAGACTAGAGAGTGAATTGCAATATAAAAAGGGAAGAACATGATGACTCCACTTTGTGGACGACTTGTGAGGAAACACTGTGATTACTATTATTGATTTTTATTTTCTTTCTTTTGCTTTTCCCCCAAGATAATGCGATGGGAATTCAAAATTTGTTTGCTATAACTTATATTTGTTAATTTTTTTTAAGGATACAAGTTCTGTATCATACATGTTATTTTTATATTTTAATTTAAGATAAATGTATTTATATATAAATTAATAAAAATTTATAAAGACACAATAAGTTAATTGTATTTTTTATTTTAAATTTATTCATATTTGACACATGCTTTCTTTTTCTCCGCTTAAATAATGCATTAAAAGTTTATAATGTCATTTATAAATAAAATAACATCATTATTATATTTATTAGTACTATTAATTACAAGTTAACTAAATATACAACAAAAGATAATAACGTTAAATAATCAAATACTCTCTTCAATATTTAAGTGTGTAGGATTTATTAATTTTAACTTTGGATGAATATATAATTGCAATAATTAGAATATGAGTGCATTATCAGTATATAAAATGTGAAGTTTTTTAATCAATTATAATATACTATTGGTGTGATTTTTATATTAACTAGTTTAGTAGTTAATGTAATGCTTAAATATTTTATTTTATAATAAATATACAAATTATGTAAATAATTTAAAATATACGGTAAACACGTGTCTAGCTAAGAAATTTACTGTTCTATATTCTATTTCATAAATTTTCCGACACGATGAGAGTATCTTTTCAAACAAGTATAACTAATAGACAGTAATTGTATTAATTTTTAAAATTATGAGTTTTGGTTATTTTCATATTTAAAATAATTTATGTTCAATCATTTCAATATAAAATGAGATTTTATAATTTTAGACACTGAAGTAATTGCTCAACAAGGAATCCGATAGATCATGTTGATCTTGTTTGGTTGTTTGGTTGTTTGGTCTTCTTTTTCTCACTGTTACTCGTTTTTGTGATGTATTATTGTATCTTTGGCTTTTGGGAGCCACCGTTCTTTTTTTTTGGTATGAAATTTCAAATTCACATTCAAATTATCCAGTTTTCAATTCATCCATTCACCTCCATCAAATCAGTTCATGTATCTGAACCATTTTCCAAATTAGACTTTTTTCCACATTCGTACTCATTAACATTACGCGGGTTGAAATCAGAAAAAAGAAAGGACAGAAGGTTAAAAAACCAGCATCAAAAATTTTAATGGAGACATTTTTGTTTAAACATAATTTAAATATTTTAGTTATATTTAATAGTTTATAAAATTTATTCAAATTAATTATATCTAACATTAAAATAATCAACTTTAAGTAAAAAAATTAATGAATGAATGAATTTTTTACAAATTTTTCATGTTACATACTTTTTTCTTACAAAATTTCTAAGTTATTCGGCAATTGAGAAATATAAAAGCTAAATATTGACGAAACTCACGTATATTTTTCTTTTTCTGAATTTCTTGCTTAACTAAACCAGGAAAAGTTTCTTCTTTTTATTTTTAATTTTTCTCCGTTTTTCTTTCGCCGACATAAACATATTGTTAGGGCTCAATTTCTTCCCACGTTTAAACAAATAGAGACAATAAATGGACAGTGTTAAATATTTAACGTTTTAAAGAAACATTATCAAACTCGTTCAATTTTCTTTCTTTCTCTTTAATAAGCATTAGCACTCTTTTTATATATAATTTTATTTTCTATAATTTAATATGTATTTGAAATAAATCACGTGTGAGCCATGTCACTTATTAAGAAGAAGAAGAAGAATAATAATATATTAAAATATGCGAATAATTCGAATGAAGTAATGTGAAGCTTATATTAATATACGTAAAAGTACTTTTAATTAATTTAGTTTAAATAATATGAATTCGTTTAAAATTATTTTCAAAAGACAAAAATGTACTTCATATCTATTTGAAATTTATATTATAAAATTTTGCATGAGAAAGAAGAATTAAAATAAACAAGGCGTATGTGGATGGTGAAATTGATGGTGTTGTACGTTGCAGCCTACAATTATTGAATTAAAATAAAGAAGAGGGATAACGTAAGTCACATTGGAAGAGACTGCGTCTACGAGTGCTTCTCAGACTTTGTTGGGGATGTAAGTCCAGTCTCTGCTTAGTGCTTAAACAAGTATATTATTCTTCAAGCAAACTACACTTTATTTTCCAATATCATCATATCATAGAACCGACACTCCCCGGAGCGTGGAGTATCCGCTGCATCATCTCCCGCATTTTTCATTCATTCTCTCGCTTTCCCTTATTTTTATTTTCAAATAATAACCGAAATGACATTTTTAAAACTTTCTTCTTTTTCATAGATAAATTTATGATGTTAAATAATTTTAAAATTTTGGCAAAGTTGAAAAGAAAATTATAAGGTGTAAAAGAAGATTTGATACTTTGATCAGTGATCTTTGTGTAAAAGAAGATTAAAGATTTCAAGTAACACTACAGAAATACTATAAAAAATGAAATTTTTAAAATTATTTTATAAAACTGTTGTTCTATTAATAAAAAAATAAAATATTTATTTGATATATTATTATTTTAATAAAAAATTGTAAATAGCTTATTATGCTTAATGTTAATTGATTAGTAAAAGTAATTAAGGGAATTATTAAAAATCTCACGAGAGATGATCTCTGCTGTCTTAAGTAGTTTTACTCGAGCTTCGAATAGGTGGGTGAAATGAAAAAGAGAGAGAGAGAGTGATGATGATGCGTAAACTTTATGTATCAGGAAAAATAAATAAATAAACCTTTTTTTTTTTGCACCTCATGCATCTCACAGCCTTCAAGACTATTTCTCATGTCCTTCCCTCAACAACTTAGTGATAAACTAGAGAGATATGACATGTAAGGAGCAGAGTTCAAATTATGTGACGTGCAAAATCACACCTTTCCCGTGGACCAAAAAATGAGACTATTTCTCATACACAAAGGAATTCATCCACATATAGTAAAGAATATACAAACAACAAAACACCTGTACTTTCAACTCGCAAGCTTCTGTGGGATGCATCCCCGGGAAGCAGAGAACGGGTAGATGAGGTCAAATCTCTGCTTCCGAAAGTTTTTTCCCTAATCAAATCCTGTACATTTTGTAGCAACTAAACGCAACTTTATATCTTCAACTGTGATGACCCAAAAGTCCACGTTCCCTTTGACCACTGCACTTGCTGAATGAAGATCTAGATTGGTGCTCTGTAAACCACAGAAACAACATTCAAGTTAAACTGAGCGAGAAAATTAAACTAACGATATCATTCCATTCTGAAATACAATGGGAAGATCTTCTCGACCCATCCAAATCTTCAAAACCAAGGCATCCACCATATATACATCTTTCCAAGATTTTTGTGAGAGACTGCCTCAGCAATTAGTCTGCGAGCTTGACCTTCTACAGCGAGAGGCAATGACGGTGCAGCTGCAACACCAACAACCACTCCTTCTAACCTTGCCTCAATATTACTGATGGCTCTCTGATAAAATCCATAAAAGAAATAATTATAACTATTTTAACTGCTCTAGTCTTTTGCAACAATATTTGCTTAAAGGAATATACATTATCAGAAATAAGAATCGATTTATCTTCTTAACAGAATACAAAATAAGAAATGCATATGTATTGGATTTTTTAAAAATTATTTTAATCTAAACTATACCCGCCAAGAAAATGAAGTAAAAATCACTTTTCAGACAAAGCCAATAAAGATGGAGCCCAGACTTTTTCCACTTAACATTACCAAACAAAAACTGAATATCAAACCTGTGCATGTGGATTCTGAACTTCTACACCACTGGACTTGTGAGATTTTGTCCATTCCACAAGAGGATCGTGGATGAAAGTTTCAAGCACACTCATGAGAGTCTCCCTGTGTGTCCTCAGCACGGAAAGTGTAATTTCACAAACCCTCAAGAAGATACCCTCATATCCAGTGATGCCTAAGCCATCAATCATGTTCTGTAGGTTTGGTAACAGAATCAATCCATAAGAACAAAGATACCAGCATTCAACAAAAGTAATTAGCAACAATAAGTGTTTTAAGGTATCATGACATTAAGTATAAAGAAAGTATTATCTTCAAGTACTAAATGGACTTTTTTCTGTATTACATACTTCCAAAAATTATTTGATGAGTAGAATCTGCAATAGCTTGCAGAGAAAAGATATATGCTAACCATTCCCAACAATATCTGTGCTCATCAGATGAAAAAATAAAATGGTATATGCTGGACTTACAAAGTGCTTCTCTCACCTGGGTTAGCCTAAAAGGAACAAGCTCAGGCTTCTCCAACTGCAAGCCTTTGTCAAATAAGCAACTGAAATCAACATGAACACAATCTCCACTGGTAGAATCAAAAAGAATGTTTTCACCATGCCGATCACCCAGCCCCACAATATGCCCAACCATGGACCAAACTGCTGTCGTGTGAGCATAAGCAACACGGGCCCTGAACCATGCAGCAGGCTCTGAAAATGTTGTCAGGAACCATTTGTGGAAAACAGGAGGAAACATTGGAAGGATTTTGTTCTTTAGCATCTCATCCTCTGGCAATTTACCTTGGCATTGATCATAAATTTGCTTAATTTGAGGATTAGTTTTCTGCCTATCAAATTTTCCACATGTAATATATATGTCTTGAAGAATTTGTCGAAGTCCACGAGTGTGGGGCACCCACTCAACCATTCCACAGTCTTCTGTCAGAGGAATCACAGCAAATGTTCGAATGTAGAGCTTCCTACGACGACTTTCAGGATACTTGGATAGCAATCGATTGATCATTGCAGTGAATTCCATCATGCGAGCATCTTTGCGGAGGTCATCCTTAGGTTTGCAAAGAAACGGGCGCTCATGACCATCACTGCCTAATAGAATGATCTGAAATACAAAGGCATTTATAAGGATGGTGCATACATGACAGGAGACAACATACAATAGTGGCATTTAGCTGGGTTCATGAGCAAATAAGTTCTTCAGACCTATCCAGTATCTTAAACAAATAAAACACTGAAAAATATATTACTATATTAAATACAAAATGGTATAGTGGTAGGAATCATCACTGTGATCTTTGCAATGAGCTTGAAAATACAAGGCCGCATTCATTTTGGAGGAAATCTGGTTTCGCATCATGATCAATAATTGGAATGCAACCCCTCAAAAGAGCTTATCACCTTCTAAAAGTTGGGAACTTACTGTAGTCATGCATCATCCTAATCTGTCAGTACAGCTCGCATGTCCTGCAACTCCCCCTAATCAGATACTACCACCTAATGCTGGTAGCAGGCTGTATCCTCACACTACTGCCCAATTGGCCCTTTCAAATATTCCACTACCACAATATTTGTTCCTAATGAAATGTATATTCCTCCTATATGATACATGCATACTTCCATGAAATTTGCAACACTTACGGATAAATGCATGCATTTTGCAAATTATCCCATCCAACCATTAGTTTACAATTTATGCTATGTAAATAAAGTAATAGAATAAGTAGTACCAATACTGTAGTTTGGTCTTATGAGTTCTGATGCCCACTCAATAAGAATTAGATGGAAAACAAAAACAGTGATATGCCACACCATGCATGCAAAGTAAGTGAACTGCCTACTCATGAATCAGAGGAAAAAACATAGTAAGGTAGAAAATCATTAACATACTTTCTTAGGACGCTGAAGAGATGAAAGAATTTCAGCCTCATCAGCAATGCCTGATATAGTTGGAATATCTGTGGCAGAAAAGATATTGGACATACATGAATCGCCCAGATTCCCATCATATGTTGGAAGATTAACAGTAAGAGATTGTTGAATTGGCATTATAATCCCCAAGGGCATCATCCTCTTCAGAGCACTAAATTCAGTTGAAAGATTTATTGTCCTTGCTCTTGACTGACCAGAGTGGAAGCATAACTTGATCAGATGATCAATCAGGCTAGCAAATTGAACAAACAAACTGTTCTCATTACTTCCTGGGCTGAAACCTTTACGTGCAGCTTGTATGATTTCAGCCGCTGCTTCACGCCTTGAAGGAACAGTGGATTTTGAAACTGCAGCCATAATCCATAGGCCCTGTTGTGGATACTGCCTGAGAACAGAGGTAATGATAATTTTGACCAGTCGAACAATCTCTTCATTTTGATGGCAAATTCTTGAAACCAGTTGGGGTAGCACTGTCAACCAATGATATGTTGGCAAATCCTTCAAACAGCCTCTCATAATACTCATTACCTACCAAAGTAAAAGACAAGAAAGCAAATAACGCAAAACTAAAAATGCAATAAGCAGTACACGAGAAGAATTTACATGTATTGAACACAAATAAAACAGGAGAGACGGAAGATTTTTTACTTACCTTCCCATGTACATTCTTTAATTCCTTGTTTGATGAACCACTTCTTTCATACATGCTCCCAAAGTCAAACCACAAGGTTAATAACCTAGGAAGTGCCTGAAATAAATTCTTGTGTCCCCTGTGAAGTCCTTTTGCATAGAATAACAGCACATCTGGAACATTGGACCACCAACGCCTCTCACCATTCAAGTTTGAAGAGCCAACAACAGCACTTGCTGAAGGAACCAGTCTAGGACCAAGTTCAAAATTCTCCTCCTGGCGTTTCCTGGCATCACCAAGCACTTCATCACAGTACTTAGCCATATAGAAGTATCCTTTCTCCCATTTAGGTTGCAGTTCCTTCACCCTGGTATAAAGACACATTATGTCTTCCTTCTGTTTCTGCCCAGTGTAATGAGTCCACCTTGAGTATAGAAGAAGGGTTTTAGCAATATATCTGTTCTCATTTAGAGCCTGACTTTCACAAAAAATGGGCTGTGGGTTAAGTGGTACCAGGGAAAGGCTAGAAATAGATGACATTGTGGCAGAGCCTAAAACCTCAACAGGCATGTTCAAGAGAGACTGTTGCAACACTGCAATGGCACCATCAGACCGCCGAGTGCTCCAAAGGAGTTTTGCTTTTTCCATGTGGACATTAGGTGCACCAGAGGCCTGAGCTTCTAAAATTGCTCTATTGGCAGTTTCATAATGACCAGCCAAGCGACATAGTTTTGAGTATTGAAGCCAGCAATTGCCAACTTGAGCACCAAGACCACTTGCACCAAAAACCAGTCTTCTCAAAGCCAAGAGTGGCTCCCTAGCCCAGAGTGATGACTGTGTAAGCCTTAGTCGACTCTCCCAGTTGTCCACTAATTTAGAGAAAGCTAGGTCATCTAAGCAAAATGATTTCTCTAAGAAAGAGTCATCACCCAGAAGAGAATGAAAGTCCTCCAATTCCCGTAAAAAGTGAAGTTTTACAACAAATGGGTAGGCCCGCATGTAAGAATCCATTCCTGCAGCAGCTAGGGGAGCAATTAGGGCCCGTTTGGATAAAGCAATTTTCTCTGCAACGGAGAAGTGGTCCCTCTTCATCATGGCCTGGAGAATCTTTGCAACATTCAGGTCAAATGAAGCATTACTTTCAGAGGTACTACAAACTAATCCATCTTCTTCAGCTCCACTAAGGTACTCTTCCATCAAATCCCACCTGCTGAGTCTCCAGGCTGCCTGCACACCTTGCATGCACCATGCTTTCTTGTACTGAGGAATCCTAGAAACTAAACCATCAACATGAGTGACCATGGCCTGAAGATGGCACATGTTTAACAAACAGTTAAGGACATCAGAATGCCTTTGAACTGAGGTTGGCTCCATCTGCAAAGCTTGTTCACAGGAAGTTAAGACATCGGCCCAATTCCCAGCCTTTTTGTTCATTAATAGCTGATCTTGTAACATTAAAGACTTACTTAAACATGACAAGCCAGATAGTCCATCAGGCTCGTCCAAACAGCTGTATATTTCCATAAGATGTGAAACATCTTGGTTGTCAAAGATGCCACTCCTCTCAGCAGCAGGGTTGAAAGCACCAGACTTTTCCCTCACATAGGACTCAAAGTACATCAAGGACCTTGCATACGCCTGACACCTAAAGGAGGCCCTAGCAAGAGCCTCCTTTGGGATCGCAGATAGAAGCTCTGAAACATATTTACACTGTACAAGAAGTTGGTTCTGATCTGTCAAGAAATTTGAACTTTGACCCTTTGACTTTTGTTGCTTAGAAGCCAATGTTTGAGAAATGGAAAGAGCAAGATCTTGTTCCACATCATCCACCCATTGTCCTAGATTATCAAGAAGAGTAAACACGGCTTGAATACAGACTTCACTTTGACCGCCACTGAATCCATGAACTGAAGCACCACTGTTCTCTGCTGCAGCTGCATCAAGAACAGATAGGATTTCTTCTGTTATGCCTTGACGTGCCTCCTGAGTACCATGACAGACAGCATTAAGAACTAAGTAGGGAAGCAAATATATTGCTGTTTGCATATCATGGCGTACAATACCTCGACAAGCATTAAAGATGCTTGCACGAGATCCAGTAGCATGCACAGTCAGTTTTCTTATCCAAAAGAATATCCATCTTCTAAATGACATACAAGTGCGGTAAATAGGGCCAGCAGATGTTGAATCAGTTACTTTGGGAAGCTGAAATCTAGATGTTAAGCACGGGGCTATTATCTCTTTCACATAATTAGAGAACCGATCCCATAATTTCTGGCCCCTATTATTCATCCTGTTACTATCATCAGTACTCTTGATCACAGATGCAACACTATTTCGATTTTTTTCATCCTTTTGCACCTGTGATGTAGTAGTTGAAGCATTCTCATCCAGTGATGCCTCACAACCAGCAAACTTTAGCAACTCCTGTATAGCCAATGCAGCAGAGTCTTGAATAATAGTATCTGGTGCAGATCTAAATGCCCGAGCTAGATGTTTGTGGATCAGCTCAAATATGAGGTCATCATCAGAGCATTGAATTTTGAAACGTTGACATGAAAACCCTTTCACTTTAGCAGGGTCAACAGCACCAAGGGCTCCAAGACAATCAGCACAGACTAACTTCAACCTCTGCCCAACTGTGGTCCTTGATTCTTCTGCACATCCTCTTAATAATGATGTAATCAAAAAACTCAAGACATCCAAGTCTGAACCAGCTTCAGCAGTGATTAGAACAGTAACATCCTTCCATCTTGAGTTCAGAAGCTTGCACAGCTCACACACTACCATGTACCTCACATTTAAGTTCTCATGATTTAAACCATCAACTACATCCCGCAATTGATCCTTCAAAGTCATTGTCCCGCGAGCATCCTCAATTGCTTTGTTCACTTCTGTCAAAGCAGGTATGCTGGGCAAGGGGGGAAACTCACTTATATGCTGCTTTAGGATAACCCTATTCTTAAGAGCTAGTTCTTCTAAAATATTTACCACTTTGTCCAAATGTATTGAGGGGTTTTCCTTGTCTCTCTCCAAGAAGGGAAGAAGGGAAGCAAAAACTTGCGAAATTACATGCTTAATGCTAGATGGTGATACTTCAGCCAATTGCTTTATGAAAAAATGCAAGACAGACAGACCCTCCTTTTGCATTGGTTCTTTATTAATAGCATGCATGAGAATAACCATTAATTTTGGCACATAAGTATTAAGATGAGAACCCATCATTCTAATCAGCATCTCAATACAGTTCAGTGCTAGTCTCTGAAGCGTGAAATCATCAGCATGGAGCATTTTTCTGTCTATACTGTTAAGAAGGCCAACAAAATGATTCCTCAAAAACCCTGGGAGATCTTCTGCAGCATTGAGAACTTTAGCAATGGCTTTAATCACCTGAGGCACCCTTGCCAATCTGTCAATAAATAGAAGAATAAATAGTTAAGGACAAGCAAAACTCACATGAACTCTTTATTGCCATTTTTTGGTTTACCGTCATAAATATGCACTGAAGTATGAGCCCTCCTTTTTTTTGGCTTTTTAATGGAAGGCTATAAGAGTGCCATGAAAGAAATAAATGTGGGACTAATATAGTTGTGAGTCAATTGCCACGGTGAAACAAACCAGTTTCTGCTAGTCAAAGACAAGTGAATAAATACAAAAAATTCAGTATATATTTAATAACAGCAACATAGTTTACAAGTCAAATGAATGAATTCCAAATATTAACATCCAGGTTTGAAAGTTTTCCATTCAGGAACCAAATTAAAATCAAGCTCCAGAAATCTACACAAATTACCTTCTACTTATCTCATCTGAATCACCACCATCTGTGAAGCATATAAGTTCATCTAGAAGAGCTGGCAAAGCAGCTGCAAATATTTCCTGCTTGTCAGAACCAGTCTGTGCATGGTAGAACTGCACAGCAGAAATTAACTGTTGATCATCGGTTTGATGAAGAGCAAAAGCAAGAACTTTTGGCAGCCAGTTAACTATCAGAGGCACCATATCAGTGTTCAAACACTTGGCCAACTCATATAAGGTTTCAACTGCTTGACTATTGTACTGCTGAGACACCACAAGCTTTGGGAGAACAAAAGGAATCATTTTCTTTACAAGTTCTTTGGTCTCAACACCAAAAACAGCTTCTGCAAATTCCCTCACTAAGACTGGGCGGCTGGCAAGCCTCTCAGAGAGATAATCATACAGTTCACTGCGAATATGAACATCTTTAGAAAGAATTAGCTCAAGACCACCTTTAAGATGGAAATAGCAAGATTTGTGTATTAACCTGGATGCGTTCATCCTCACAGTTACATGCTTGCTATCAAGCTGATCAACTAACAGTATAAGAGAACATAAGAACAGTTTGCTATCTATATTGACAGCAACCATTATTTCTGCTGTACATTCCATTAATGTCTCCATTATATATGGACTCCCAGCTACTGTCATGGCATGTTTAATTGTATCCAAGAACTTTTGTTCCTTGCTTTTGTCATTGTCGCCAGCAAAAATTGAACTCAAAATAAGATCATCCACAAAGAATCTAATCTGGCTGCAAAATGCTTCCCTCAGTTCCTTGTTACTGCTAGTCAGCAAAAATTCTACACATTTTATCCACTCAAATCTTGTTTTGAGCAGAATATCGGAGGATACATGTGCAAGGATCCGATGAATAACTCTCACACAGGAAATTTGGACATCTTCTGTTGACTCATCAAATATAAGTTCAAAAAATAAAGATTGCAATTGAATGAAATCAGAGTCCAAACTAAAATCTGCATCTGCTCCATGCATATCCAATCGATGAATGATTGGAGGATGCCGCTCATCATGATTGCACATAAAACTCCTATCGCATTTTGAACAGCAGAAACCTTGAAGTAAACGATCTAGTGTCCAACATATTCTTCCACTTTTTGCATTTACAAATAATTTGCATTCGTTTATATATGAACTGGATATCAATCTTCTGCATCCAAAAAGGCATGACAATAGGCCAAGAGATATGGGAAGAATTTTCTTAACCTTCTCATTATCCCTCTTTACGTACCTGCACGTGGGGTGGGGGGAAGCAAATAACCAAATTACCAGAGGATTTGTTTCTCCATCATTTTGTTCAAAATCAACTTTCAACCATGTACTTCCATGTGATGGGAAAATTTAGTAAACAAAAACACAAAAAAAAAAAAATCTTAAGAGGAAGGGACAACTATCATAAATTTGAAACAAGGGAAACTGTTGAAAACATCAAACAATCTTGACAAAATGATGAAATATAAAAGGGACAACTAACTCGAAGGAATACAGTTTTACCATTTAAACATTCATGCATCATAAATCAAATCCAAGGGAACTAAATTATATTGAAAAGCAAGTTCCATATGTGTGATAATTTTCGAAACATCTAAAGTCTGTTTCATTTGAAATGGAAAAACCATCCTAGGATATAAAACCAAGAGTTCAAAGAAAAAAAAAATATTTAAGCAAGAATTATTTTTAATCAGCTTCTGCAATTCAGACTTTGAAACTAACATATGAGAATCTTCACGTTAATCACATGCCTACATTCAAACTGACTGAGTGACAAGTCTGATCAACATGTTGCTGAAATCATGCATGAGAAAACATCCACACAGTTTACTTACTCCATCCTTTCAAAGACAGGAGATGACACATCAAAACCAGACCACAAAACTATCACTGGCATAGAAATGGCAGCTTCAGTTCTGACCTCTTCAGCTTCATCATGAAGACCCAAATCTAAAACTTCAAGAACAACTTCACTGTTCCACTTTGGGCCTAATTTTGATACTACTTGAAGAGAAAGACACTTTGCTTTCCATGGACAATGATTATCAATAGCAAGAAGCATATGAGTCCATGGAAGTTTAAGCACCACAATGAGGTCTACAAGGTAATTCTCATCCTGTAATGGGTTGTGTTCTTTGAAAGAGGAATCTGATTGAGATTAGTCACACGTGATACAAGTCAGGAGCATGAAATAGCGGACACCATAAAAATGATGTGTATGTAAAGGATATATCAGGAAAGAAAAATACAATATATTTACAAAGAGTCATGATTTGCAATGAGAGACTAAAACATACAATATATTTACTAAGGCTCAACATTTACATACACAATGGAAGGACTCCATACGCAATGTGTAACTTGAAAGATGAAGCTACCCTATTTCCAAAACATTATGATTTTCTGTTCAAGACATGAGTGACATTAGGTGAGTAAGGGCTAAAAACAACTGCCTGTTTATCAAAAATTATACCTGCCAAAATACAAAGAATCCAATTGACCATTAGGAGAATGGTCAGAATGCTAATAGTCCTTTAATTTACTTGCCATCAATCAAATAAACATAACAAGGTAATCACCTAGAAAGAAGTATAAGTTGTATAACATTTTTATGCTAAGGAAAAAGAAGAAGTTAATTGACAGTATCAATGTAGGCAAGTTTCAAAGCTTACCTTGCAAAAGCAGTACACTCTGAATTCCTTCCAGGTAGGTGGAAATATCTACAGTAATCGAATTTCCTTGTTTTGCCTATAATGACAGCAATTTAATTTATTGAAAAAGAAACAAGTTTTATAACAGGAATTTGCAATTGTAACCTTGCTACCTGCTCAGCTATCCAAGGAAGCCATGCAAGCATCTGCCGAAAAATTCTGAGAGATAGATTGGTCTCAGGATAAATAGAAAAGGCAATGCATAGCATGCTAAGTGCATTTAAAGCAACATCTGGCCCCAAAGCACCAGGTCTGAGAGCAGAAGCATTTAATGATTGAAAAAATGAAAGAAGAGATTTATTCATATGATTAGCATAATCTTCTAATCTTTGGCAAGTAACTATACAACTATGTTTGCATTCCACCTCAAGACCAGCATCAGCACCAACAATTTCTTCATTTAATTTTTGTCTCTTTATCTTTAAATTATCCAAATCCCAATTGGGCCTCTTTTGGCCGAGCCTTGTGCTCTCAATTGACTTATCTTCGTATGTTAACACAGTTAAAGTCTTATTGTTTTCTTGAATTCCCCCAACAAGATCCGGGCCAAGAGTAGACAGAGCTACCTGAAAACATTCTATCAGATCCAAACATGGTTCCGGATGATAGAGTGCAGAGATGAGATATTCTGGCTGCCAGACATGAGGGGGACAAAGTTGAGCAATCCTAGCATAGGCACTGCATAATGCAACCTGAAAAAGAATATTATTAGATCCTTTTGAACCATTCACTGACTCAAATTTATCAAATTCTATAAAATGGGAAAAAAATCATTGAATAGATTCCCAATTAACTAAGCTGCTCCAAGGAAATGCAAGTATCAACATTAACCTTAAGTTGCTGACTTTTGGTTCTCAACATTGATTGAAGGAATACATTGACTAAATCAGCAGCCGTCAATTTGACAGTATCTTCTGGACAGCTAGAGTAAAGTGCATTGAGGCAAATACCCATCGATGAATCATAAGCCATGTTCCTGCAAGTGAGGTTCATCTTAATGTTGTTAAAAAGAAGTCCTATATACTGAAAGAATTTTTTCAGAAGGTCATCGAAATTTAAATACAATGCATCAAAAGTAACAATTTGATCAATTTGGAAGCAAACTTCTATAAGAAATAATTTCCACCGGCCTAGTTAAAATCTAATCGTATGAAAATTAAAAATATAATAGAATAAAAGCAAACATATTCAAACCTGAAAACAGGAAGCCCCTCCTTGTCCAAATTCAAGATTGTAGCTATTGACATAATTAAATTCCGATAAGGAATGACATCATAGTTTGTCACCGTTCCAATGATGTGAACAAAGTCAAAGCATGCCTTCCAGAAACACAAACCGTCAGATGATTCGCATAATCAAGATAATACGAATAAAATTAAGCGGAAGACTCAAATTCCAAATTCCATCAGCCATTACGCACCATATGCAGGTCAGCATCCCCATAGCATAAAAAAGAACATGCAGCAGAAATAAAGGATGCATGGACCAATCCTTCAACATAGAGTGTTCCTTCAGTCAGACATTTACTGAGAAGCTTCAAAATCCAAGTTGCAAACGGTTGCCATCTGCTTCGGTCACCGAGGTCAATTAACAAACCACACCCATCAACGGGCTTGTTAGTGGACGGGAGATTTTCAATTCCAGAGAAGGACTCGCCAAAACACTTGACCATCACCCTGGAGGATCCACTGACATTGAGCGAAGCCACGTGTAAAATATCTGCAAACGCGAAGAGAAACAAAACACTCATTAACAATAATACTAATATATTCAAAATCACTTAGTATAAAATTCAGTGAAAGCAATCATCGTCACAATACATATATCCAAGAAAAAAACGATTAACTCCGGCCTAATTGAATAAAGAATAAAAAATGCTTAGTGCATAATTCTAACCAGTACCTTGAACGAGTAACATGGAATCAACGAAGAACTGGCGGTAAGCATCTCGTGCACCGGAGCGAAGCAACGATAAGAGAGAACCGAGAGCTTCAAAGAAAATTCCGTGACGAGATCTGAAATTAGGAACAGAAATGAGAAAAGAAGAGAGAGTAAGAAGAGAGAGAGAGAGAGAGAGAGAGAGAGAGAGAGAGACCGAGAGAGAGGATCAGCTAAGAAAGGAAGTATCCGAGCAAGTATTGGTAAAATAGCGGAGGCCTTGCCGTGGTAGAACACTCCAGGGAAGTTTCTCGCAGTGTGTGAGATGAGCTTCACCACCGCAATCACTTCTCTCTCGTTGCCTGCTATACAGCATTGACATCGTTCATGATCATAGATATGCATCATATATACAGAAAGAGAGAGTGAAATGGTGACATAGATGATGAAGAAGAAAGAGTACCGGAAGAGGAAGAAGGGAGGACATAGGCATGGAGAAGATTGGGGAGGACGGTTCGGAACCTGACCTCAAAAGCGTCGTCGTTTGAGAGGTTATTGGGAGTGGGAGTGGAAGAGGATGCTGCTATGCGTTCACGAAGTTCATGCACTAAACTCCACAGTTTTCCCCTTCGCATCTTCGCTTCTCTTCTTATTCATTCCTTCTTCTCTTCCCTCCCAAACGCATATCTTTCAATTTTATTCCTCCGCTTCAACGTCATTTCACCGCTTCCTCTCCCGCTGCTAAAACCGCCTCTCTTTTTTTTTTGTCGGATAAAAAATGTATGTACCTTACTTCGGCCCAACAATTTTTTTAACATTAGCCCATCAGCCCCCCCTTTTTTTTCTCTTTGAAGGGATTCTCCCCGTGCAGATTGAGAAAGGAGAGAAAATATTAATTAAATTAATGAAAATAATAAAATATAAATAAAACATATAGAGCAATGCTGATTCTGAATTTTATACACTTATCTAATTATATCTTTTCTCTTAATTTTTTAATAGTATATTTCTATATCTTATTCTCTTAAAGTTGCATCGCTTTAATTATTACTTCTTTTTTCACCCTATTTATCTACATACTATAACCATGCAATATTTATTTTTACTTCATTTTTCATTTTAACAATTGTTCTCAGCTACAAATTTCCAAGCTGAAGCTCAAATTTAGCTAGCATAATCCAAAGTATGCAAGGTTTGCATACATACTAAGTTCCATTACAATTATTTGACTACTCTATAACTATCCACTCCGAACCAGCCACCAGGTTATACAACCTAAGATCACATGTGAACCAAGGAGTCACTCACAATCACAAGCAAATTGTGAACCTCTGTGTCACCCACAATCACAGGCAAACTCTGAATTTCGATATTTCTGAACAACAATTTTTCAGTATCATACAAAAATGTCACAAGTTTGAAGTTTTTTTTTGGTGATATAGCAATGTTAAAGTAGAAAAATATTTCCCTGCAATATAGTTCCAAGAACTTTCCCAAATCAAATATTTGTCTCCTTTTAAGATTTTTTTTAATCTGTAAATTTTTTAGAATAAGAAGTCAGAAATTAATTAGCTCTTGGGACTGAAGATGGTAGTATACAAGTGGTAGCGACTAATAATTTCAACAGAACTACTCGAGATAGGCGTGGCTTTGCTACAGCAACTCCACACTAACTTTAGTACACATCCAACTAATCTACACCCAAAAAAAAAAAACTCTCTTTACATTATGCTATCCTGCTGAAAAATAACACTTTCTAGCAGTGAAGGCCGTGGAGTTCCACACTAGATGAGGGTATGAATTACATGAATTCCCTTCTAGTTCTACTCAATTTGTAATTGTTGACCAACTTGGTGGAAGCCTTTCAGTAGTGGTAGGCAAGGCTCTAATGTTTATGTCGAGTGGCAAGAGACGGTAATTAATGTCAAGTTCACGGAAAATCTTGATCATCTCTTCAATCAAAAGGGATCTTCTGACATACCTTTCTCCCATGTCTTGGAAGTTCATTCTATGAGTTGGCCAGATAGCTATTTTCACCATGTTTAACTGTTCATGATCCTTGAAGACTATGAAAGGTGAAGGATACCAGTGCTCCTTTTTGTTATCAATGTAACTGCATTGCGGTCATTAGAAATTTCAGCCAATCGGAAATGGAACAAGAAGCATACAACAAGACAAAGGAGACAGACACCTTTCAGCACATACCTTTGTATTCTGTGTTTCATAAGTGAAACCTTTTCAAGTGGGGTAGTTACATGTATGCAGAATTCAATAGCATCTCCCATGTCAGGACTACGGTAATAGTTATATATGGCCTTGGTAGCAAGGACACTGTTCGGGATGATAACCTTTTGATTATCATATCTCAGAAATATGGTAGTCAATATGTTCATTTCTTCCACAACCATCTGAAATTGGATGGCAAATATAAGGGGGGAAATTAGGCTATGTTTGCATGAAAACGGAAGATGGAAACTGACTTATGGAGAGACGAGCATTACCTGAACGCCATCAATTTCACACCTATCTCCCACATCAAATGGGTGCATGACAAATAAGAAAATAATTGCTTCAAATATGGTCTTGCAGGTGTTTCCAAATATAAATGCAACCAAGACAAGTTGTGAGCTCACGAAGAGGAGGAATTTGGTGGTGGCAATTTCCAATATCAAGAGCCAAATAACCAGTATAATAATTGCAACTACAAAATTCAGCATTCGGTGAAGTTTGTTCACTGCCGTTTTGGTGTCATTCAATGTCAAAGCAAGTGCTCTTCTTTCCCTGAAGGCATTGACCTGGATAAAATGCAAGAAAGTGCTGTGAATACAACAAGAACAAACAAAAACAGTTGCAAGTAACAACATCAATTAAAACCAGGCACAACAATAAAATGTTGACTCTGATCTCTATGTAAAATTTACCCCTAATGACAAGATCTTCCAAGGCGTGTGAAAACATGTATGCAATAGGAATGAGGCAGAGTTAGAAGAAAAAGAAAAAGAAAATTGCAAACTAAATCAAATGTAATCAATCAGTCTTGTTTGCACTAGTGTGTCAATGCGTACTAACATAGACAGGTTCTAAGAAGTGACTGGCTTATATAATCTTCCAAGTGAGCTAAATATTTCAGCTTAACGTTTTCAATAAGTAAATAATGTCATAGAACCATATTGAGAATGTGATGAAAAGATCAAGTAAGCACTATCCAATTATGCCCAAAACACCCTGTAAAGTCAATAGAAAAAGGAGACACATTGGTAACTACATCTATACGGTTTAGACATTATGGAAATATATCCATCCAGTTCTTCAAATTAAGCTTCAGACGTTATGTGAGTTAATTCTCACCACCCAGTTCTTCAAGGCTGATTTGCTGATTCTCCCAGTATCGGTGGCTCCTTCAAAGAGATTCATGGTTTTTGCAGCTTCATCTTCTCGCATAAAACGCATCAAGTCCTCCGGGTATATGTACCTGCAAAATGGAAAGCAATAATATAACGATGAGAAAGGACACGGAAAGTAGCAAATGTCATCCTCCCTATTATCAAAACGAGAAAACAAGTAGCATCAGATTAACGTATAACCTGCATCCGCGCCTAGCAACATTCTGAAATATTTTCTTTGCAGCTGCTTTAGCCTCGTTTTCACTTCGAATTTGCGTGGCATTCTCATCATCATGAGGGCTATCAAGTATATGTTCATCCAATGTAGAAAGAGCACCATGCCTGACCATATTCATTAACCTTTTCATATTCCATGCAGAGACATTGTTGGGATTGAGCTTATGCAAGTGATCAATAGTTATCCCATTGCCATCATCAGACTTCTTAGAAAGTGGCCTTGAAAACTTGCCACTCTTAATTCTGGGGCTTTTCTGGAGCGCTCCACTCTTCAACCTCCCACTCTTGATGTTGGAGAATGCAGTGGCTCTAAGGTCAGGGGGTATGGTAACCCCAGCATTCTGCAGCTTCTGAACCTCGTCAGCAAGCCTTTCCTCCTCCTCTTCAGCCTTTTGCAGCTCCACCAAAGGAGGCCCAGAAAGTGTTTCAATCACAAACTGATTAAAAAGTGACTCTTGAATCCTATCAAAGTAGGTGCTCACATGGAAAGAAGAAGCCAGGACCTTAACCACAAGAGTTTTCACCAACCAAACCAGAGTTCCCACCAAGAAACATACCAACACCTTAGTAACATACTCAAGGAAATTACTGTTGGTCTCCCTCTGGACCCTCTTATCAAACAACAAATGCCATGCAATCAAAACAAGCCCCAACCACATGCAATTCTGAACAGCCTTCTTCACACCATACACAAAATAGAGCACCCTCTTCCTCAAGAGGAAATTCCTCTCAATGCAGAACACGGCAATCCTAATAACCCAATCAGAAACCAACCTGCCACATATTAAAACAAGAACCATCACCTCCCATTTCCACAACTTGAGGTTCCAAAGATTCTTGTTCCTCAAATACGGAATACTAAGCGTTGTAATCAACACACCAATGATCAAAATCAAACTCAACCACTCAAGAAGAATCCAGAAGCTAAAATGGTTCTCTTTAAACTCATCGGGAAGATCCTCTTCCAAAAACGGATCTTCCTCCTCGTCGTCACCCTTCTTCCCCAGAAACCCGGAAAGGAGTTGCCCCGATTTCAAAACCCGACTCGATTTCTTATCGGGTTCTTCTGGCGGGTCCATTAATCTGGACCTGGTTTTCACCTTCAACAACGCGGACTTCCTCTGCATCGAGAGGTTCCTCTCAAAGGAAGCGTTGGAGGTGCACCTCACCACCTCGCCGTCACCGCCGTTACCCGCTGGAGACGGCGACGCCGACCTGAGACGGTCGTGATGGGGCGGTTGCGGAGGGCGTTGAAACTCCGAGAGCGACGGCGAGTCCTTGCTGTGCCTTCTTCTAAGATCGTCGACGACGACATTGGAAGCGGGTTCCTCGAAGGAGACCTTGAGCTCCCTGGAGACACGGTGGGTCATCGGAGACTCCTCCACCGGCGTCAACTTGCCGCTGCCGTCGTTCTGAAGCTCCTCCATCTCCAAATCCATGTCCAGCGACATCTCTCCGCCGGAGACCTTCTGCTTGTGGAGAAACCTTCCGATCAGCTGCGACGGCGGGTCCTCCGCCTGACCCTTTTGGCGAAAATCGAAGCTCTCTTCGTGAGCATTGCCTTCTTCCTGCCAGAAATCATAGCTGGACTCCCTCCAAATCTTGTTTGTCTGAGAAGGGTCGGCGTCGTCGATCTTAACGACGCAATCTCCGGCCATCGGAAAAGAATGGGTGTGACGGTGGTTTTCTTGGTCGAGGAGAATAGGGAGCTGCTCGGGGTCGGAATCGGGGTTTCCGGTGCTGGGAAACCTTCCAGAACGTTTGTTGTATGAACCATACGATTTGAAAGATTTCCTGATAGTTTGCATTAGTCACGTTATGAGAAATAAATGGAAGATTATAAATTATAATTATCAAATGCAACGGTGGTAAAGTTGGTGTTTGGTGACCAACAAATATTTTTAATAAATTATTCTAAACTTTTGGGTTCCGATTTTGAGAATTGAGAGAATTTGAGATTGAAAGGGCCTTTCTTGGACACTGTGCTGACGCGTGTACCTACGGCAGATACAAATGCTCCATTACCATACTAATAATGTTTTAAATTCATTGCAGTGTCTTCATTTTTGTTTAGGCTTGTGTTTTTGTAATGCCGTGGTCCTTCTCGAATATCCGCGTGTCTACCCCCATGCCTGCTGCACGCGCATGCCCTACTCAACCAATCTTTGTTTTTTCTTTTCTTGCCTGCAACTTGAGTTCTATATCATGGTTTTGACATTTTTTTCTAATTTTAGATTATTTTCGATTTTATTGTTTTTATATTTGTTATCTTTTTATCAGCTAATTAATTTCCATGACTTGTATTGCGGTTTAAACAAAATGGGGTTCGCTTAAATCATAAAAATAGTGTAAGTAAAGAGGAAAACAAAACGGATAAGCTAAGGATGAAAAAAAAGGTGTAAATAAAGACAAGTGAAAAAGCGACTAAGAGAGAAAAATACCTAACCCAGATTGGTTTGGGACGTAAACTTATAAATTATAGCTGGAAATGGAGTGTGTATTATAATGGTGTGGACAACTAAGTTCAAAGTCTAAAGATGTTGGATACCTGTTTAGTTAGCAACAGCATGCATATGAATATGATGTGAGGTTTGTTGTTTATTTTCAACTGAGTAGTGTGAACAGACACATGACAAGTGAAGAGGTGTCTTATTTTGCGTCATTATCGGCGTTGTTCATGTTCCACTTTCTTTCTTTTTCCCAGTTTATATTATATTTGACTGATATATAATTTCTTCATATTCTATCAGTGAGCTGTACTGTACTCACCTGCAGCACAAATGCAATTCATGACATGACAAATTTAATTATTACAGCTAATGACTAAGCTAAACATATTATTAAAACACAGCCCCACACAATCATTCTCTTCGTTCAGTCAATAACTAAACTTTGACTAATCACTAGTATATATATATACAAGATTTAAATTTAATTAATTAAAAACAATAAATATGTCTAATATTGACTAATATATGTTATTAATTAAATATTGTAAACATAAGAACATCTGATGACTTCACAATCCAACACTTTTGACTTTGAAGTGCTGACAAGAAGGCTATGTTCACCTCACATGATTTTGAACGCAAGAAGAGTAAACATCCACAATAAATACAGATCAACGATACGATGATGCAGTGTTATTTTTAATGATACAAAAAAAGAGACTCAACAATGCAAGTGAATTCAGAAATTTAAAGTTTATTTAAATTACAAAACATCCTTACAATTGCCAGCTGTTATTAATTATTATCATGTGGAGCCCTTCGACGTGGCGAAACGACAGTTCCAACTAAATAACAACAACAAACGTCACAATCAAAATCCACATGGATATACAAAATTAAAGAAAAATTAGCACTGCTTCAGGTGATATACACTTAATAGAAACTTAAATTTGTGGTATCACAAGCTGATATTTCAATACTACTATTAATAAAGTGAGTTTTAATTAATAAATTAAACGAAGAAATCTTAATTTAAAAAAAATTGAACATAGTTCATAATAAAAAAATATTTATCAATATTACAATAACTAAGCTTATAATACTAATTACAAAAACCCTAATTCAATTTGCGTTGGAGTGGACGGTGGAGGCACAGTGATAGGTCCACGCACGTTCTAACCTATCCTTTACGTATCAATCTCCAATCCTCATGGCGCTGTGCCCGCAGCACATTCTAGAACCTCTCTTTTTTTCAAGGTTTGCTCACTACTGTTTTCCAAAAAATGATATATAATACAAATTTTTATATTTAAAACTTAAAATAAAACGATAATAAATGCAAAAGAATAATAATTTGACACTTAATCGAAAAAGTGTGGAATTTTTCAGAGATTAAAACGTTTCGTTGATTTATGAACACTTCAAAAATATTAATATTCAGCTTCTTCTTTTTTTATTTGTTCTCTTTTTATTACGCTGCATGTGTATTTTTTATTTCTAACACAGTCCCTTGAGTGTCTAAGAAATATTATTATTTTCCTTTAACTTATTAAATGAGAGTCAATGTTATTAAAATCTTATTCCTAACCTATATGTGACCATGTTACATGTGGATATCATACATCCTATCCCTGCCGAACAAGTTCAATGTGCATTTATATTTTGATAATTTGCTTAAAAAGTAATAAAATTATTCATTCATGAAGTCCAATGACATTTATATAAGAGAAAGGAGATTTACAATTTTAAAAGAGTGATAAAATTCTTCAATGCATAAGCACTGCACATCAAAGCATGTTCACTGAAAATACACAATAAAAATAAAAATAAAGCAAAATAAGCAAACCTTTTAGTCATGGTCATCGTTATCACCACAGTCAAACCATTCATTCGAGTAATAGCCAGAAGCCCATTTTGTTGCACTTTGTTCTTTGTTCAACGGATTCGTCCATGTGAAAGGCCCAGAGGCTTTAAGCATTAAGAAAAGGCCCAAAGGCCGAGTTGTCAATGAATGCCGAATAATGTAATATAAACAATCCATTGTCCAGCGCTAGGGAAAAAAAAAGATTTATTTTTAACACCCCCTCCTTTCTATGTCAACTTTACATAAGTTGTGGTAATCGGAGTAGTAAGAGATAGATGTGGATTGCCTGCAACAAAATTGGAGAGAGAGTATAATCAATAATGCTATTCAAACACCTATATTTTGTGTCTATACCTAATACCGTATAGTAACAGTTCTCAAATACAAGGTTACATATTAGTTATTTTACATACGTGAATATACTACCTAAACTCAAAGTTAACTAAACTTAAAAAAAACTACAAGAATGTCGTGTAACTCTCTTGCGTCTCTGGTTTCTCCTCTTTCTCTTATGTATTTAGGTGTTGTCCCTCATTTGAGCAATTTACTGTGTCACTTCGTCTTTTTTCACTTCTCCTCTCACTTGTTCTTTTCGGCTTTTTCCTTTTCTTTTTTTTTTCTTCTTGAACAAATAAAAAAAAACATTTGAATCGTGAAGCCATGTTGTTGCTGTCCTTCTACAATTAAAAAAAATTCATTTCTCTCTTGGAGACTATTCATTGTTACGTGAATTTCTCTCACTTGTTCTCTACAACTTCTTCTTCTTCTTCTTGAACAAGTCCAAAAAAGAAAACGTTTGAATCGCGAAACTACGTTGTTGCTACCCTTTTTCAACAAAAAAAAAAAATTCTTTTTCACTCTTAGGGACTATTCATTATTGTGTGACTCTCTCTCACTTGTTCTCAACAGCCTACTCCTGGGTATTTGCGTATTGGCCCTCATTTGAGCCTTTGTGTTGAAGATAAGTTGAAATATTGGTTGGGCAGCATTACAGGTACTTTTAGTGTCCTCTTCTTTGATTTTTCACAATGTTAATGAGTACTATGAAATCATTTTAAATTTTTCTGTGATAGCTTTATAGACAACGACAGTTAGTGAATGTAGTTAATTTCATATATTAAGTTAGTATGTTTTTTAAGCAGGTTCTAATAATTTAGTGTATAAGCTAACGTTAGATCATTTTACATATGTTTTCTGTTAATTGTGAGTATGATAATAATAATGCTATTATTTTAACTGCATAAATATTAATATTCATCATAAAAATCTGGTAATTCAATTTTCAATTTGATGGTAATTGAATGTAAAAAGTGGTAATGTTATAGGATGTACACAAATATTTTCTACTTTTGTAATATATGTTAGTGAACTAACTTAATTAATGACTAACATAAAGTTATTAAATTTTTGTCACCAATATTAGGCCATAAGTAGAAAACTGCTACTAATGTCATAGAAGATGTGTTGTGTCTAAATTGTATGAAGATAGTAATTGACATATAAACCTGGTAATTCAATGTTTAATGTGATAGTAATTTTAATATGAAACTGTTAATGTTATAGGATTAACACAATTTCCTTTCCTCTTGTGTAATATCTGTTACTGAACTTACGTAAGGTTATTTCTTAAGTTGTCACCAATATTAGTCGTTCAAAACTGCTAGTAATATAATAACAGTTATATTCTGTATGAACTATATGAATATGGTAATTTAGCAAATAAAGCTGATAAACCAATATTCAATGTGATGGTAATTGCAATATATATATAGATAATTTTGCAGGTTGTACACAATTAAAAAATAATTGTGTTAAGAATTAAAAAAATATAACTTTATCTTTTTTTTTATTTGTTTGACTCTTTTTAGTCTTAAGAATGTTATATTTTAAAAATGAGTGACCCGGTTTCTTTGAAATTTACCTCAAATGACACCCTTCTTATGTAAAAGTGTGTCGGGAATTCGTTGAAGTGTTGTGAAAAAAAAAAGGGCAGGAAAACGATGAACTTGAATTATCATATTGTTCAAAGAAAAATTTTGCCATAATTCAATAGTTAGTTTTATTGAAAAAAAAAAAACCGCAAGTCTTTTGTATTAATTCCGTGGAGCACATAAATAAATCCGATAGCGTTAATAAAGTTTGTTTTAATAATATACAATTTAAAAAAAATCATCTCTTGATTGTTTTAATTTGATCTTAGCTGACAAAAACTGTTACAATTAAAAAAAAAGCACTTTTCTATGTCAACTTTACATAAGTTGCGGTATTCGGAGTGGTAGGAGATGAATGTGAATTGCCTGCAACAAAATTGGGGAGAGACTAGAATTTACATGAAGCCACGTGCGCTTTGATTGGGCCCAATAAAGTTGTCAGAACAAAACATAAATTCGAGTACTGTTTGGGAGTGAGGAAACGACAATAGAAAGTTCGATCAAACAAATTATGACAAAGGTTTACATAAACAATAATCGACAATGATTTGCCGTTTTCGATAAAATTGCCAAACGAGGCAAGTACTGCGTGACTTAAATCCTTTATTTGAGGCAATTTTCCATCTAAACTCATCGTAATAATTTCCATCAGTTCTTGAGTTTCATTTCATTCAATTTTAGAAAATATTTTTTACCATCCATTTAAAAATTTAAGATAACATTATTGACAAATTTTTAAATTAGACTGATTTTTTACATATTTTTCATAATTGTTTTACACAATTAACATAGATAATTAAATAACA